GCAACCAACTTCAGGTATATATATATGTATATGTATATATATATATATATATATATACGCGTATATGTATAGGCTTATTTGGGATATTATAGGCATCTTCTATAGTATTATCATTTAGCCTTTTATAATTTATGACCATCCTAGATTTACCTCTAACTTCTTCCGCATGATTTCTTACTATAAATGCTGCAGACCTATGTGGACTTCTACTCTCTCTTATTGCTCCTAGTTTCAGCAGTTCTTCTATATGCATCTTAAATTCTTCTATATCTTTCGGAGTTGCTTCTATTGGGCTGGTCTTAATAATATATTCTGGGTTTATTATATTAATTTTACACTCGATAGCATTTTTCTCCCAATATTTCATAGGAATTTCTCCTATAATTTGGATATCCTCTAATCTTTGAACAATTTTTTCTATATCCTTTTTAGACTTAATATCCCTATACCAATTTGGTGCAAATGCTTGTAATCCTATGCACTCTATATTGGAATTTGATATATAATAGATGTCTATATTCTCACTAAGTTCATATTCATTAATTCTTTCGAAGAAGTGACTCTGGGTAAGCAAATAGGCTTACCCAGACTAATAGTCTGGGTAATATAATATATATATATATATATATATATATATATATATATATGTGTGTGTGTGTGTGTGTGTGTGTGTGTGTGTTTATAGCGACTTAAAAACCAACATAAAAAAATCACGTTGAAAATATCTTAAAATCAACTTCAAAACAAAGGTCGAAAATTCAAATTTTGCTTTTGCATTAACGTCTTATTAGGCCAACTGATGGGGCTCTTATTATCAAGAGAGTGAGAGATATACCGAGATTAATCCATGGAAAGCTTAGGTACCTTCGCTTACATTTCAGTGAACACACCCACACCGGCACATATAAAATGTTCCCTTAACCTGTAAGGAAGAGTGTTTATTAATCGATCTTAAAAATACTTGTATTTTAAACCGTATTTTTTTCTCGAATAACTGACACTGTTGACAACTGCTGTCTTACTTGAACTACAAATTACATTTAAATGATTATATTATATTATATATATGATGAATGAAACTTGTAGGGTTATATTCATTTACACTACACACTTTGATAATTGTTGTTCAAATTTGGCCGTTAACAATAATATAGCGTATTTTTAAGTATTATAGCTTTTTCGTCAAAGTTTAAACTTGAATAGTATACCAATGTTAGTGTTTGTTCATCTTCTTGTTGTTTTCAACCTTTTTCAAAGTTTGGTATTACTCAAAATTTAGTAAGATAACAAACTAAATATATCCTTATCAACATTGTATTTTAATAATTTCAGAACTTTCTACACTCAAAACTCATACCAGAATTTGGTAATAAGGTATATAAAACACCAATCCTGACCTTACCTTACTAATCATTAGTAATTTGGTGGAATATTATCAAAGGTTGACCAGGTTTCTTTGGGCAATGAAGTAAATAAGCACTCACTTCATCCATTCCAAAATATAAAGAACACATCATATTACTACGAATTAGACAGACTTATTGTTTAGATTTGTAGTATTAAGATATGTTACATGCGATCAAAGTAACTTATATTTTAGGACAGGGAGTAATTATTTGATAACTGAGGAAGTACAGACTACTAGAAACGATGTTTCTTGGTTTCTTATCGGGTGACACAAGATCCTTGCTGTGGTAGTCCACAGTACACAGTCCACATGATACACACAGGAGTCCATATTGATTGTGTCACCACTGGCTTGTTGCATTGCAATGCACATTTGCACCGCATATATTGCATCTGTCACTTGACAGGGCATGCATACATATATTGCAATATTGCATTGCAAGCAGAGGCAGCCGGCAGAGCCAGGTACTCGATCTATGCATACATGCACTTACTCCTACAGTGCCAGTGTGCTGCAGGCCAGCACTCACCAGGTCAGCATACAGCAGTATATATACTCCCTCCGTCCTAAAAAGAGACAAACCCTAAGCCGTGTCCAACGTTTGACCGTCCATCTTATTTGAAAAAATATAAAAAAAATTAAAAAGACAAGTCACGCATAAAGTATTAATCATGTTTTATCATCTTGCAACAATGAAAATACCAATTATAAAAAAATTTTATATAAGACGGACAGTCAAACGTTGGACACGGAAGCCCAAGGTTTGCTTTTTTTTTTTTTTGACGGAAGGAGTATATATGCTCCTACAGTGACGCCTTAATTTCAAGTCGAGGCTAGCTATTGCATGCTCTGCATGCCACTCCATATCTCTGAGACTCTGAATCAATTCGATCATAATTCAGAGCTGGTAGCTATGCATTTTTTTGCAGCGACTTCGCAGTGTGTCTTGTTCACGCATGGATCGAGAAAGCCAGTAAAAAAAAAGGAAATTTAAGTTTTTTTTTAAGAAAAAGACACGGTACAAAGACAAAGGTTGACGCACGTAGTCAAGCACACCTACTACTACTGTATGAGCATCTTCGAAAAACTGTCCGACCAGCATATCTTAGTGTTAAGACTTGAGAGTGATAAAATCACTACAGATATGAGCATATCTTAAGAGATTAACGAAGTCAGCATAGGTGCTTCATGTTGACGCGATCACCTAGCTACCATCGAAAGAACAATTAGCAATAGAATACGAGTACTGGGATAGGATGGTTGCTAGGAACACTTAATTTGTCGTAATCTGCCATGTAGGTTAGACGAGTTTAACCAAGAAAATTTGACCAGTTGTGATAATATTTGATTCCAACAAATTAGCTCCTACAAGTCATTGACTTAAAAAAATGTGACAATATTTTCTTATCCTTGATAAGGTGTGGCACATATTTAAATCAATTTTAGTAGGCAAATGACATAGTAAAGTGTAGATGAGTAGCGTAGATGAGTTTGAAGACAGTTTGTTGCCACCTTAGAAGAGTATTTGCTGGCAAAGGACGATAAACTATGGCTGTACAATGGAACCGTCAATTCGAGTATACCTAGTTGCCCTAAGTCGATTCCAACATTTGCCAACCAAACTTGAACTATATGACTTGGCAGACAAATTCGGACGGACGGTTAGAGTGACACTCAGTTTGTGAATCTAAGTTTATATCACTTATATATATATATGATTAATCTACATGTGCAGCCTGCAGTTACGGCACAAATTAATAAATTGTTGCTGAATTTAATTCAAAGCCACGATCGAATTTAATTTGGAACGAAGGTGATTTAAATGCTGGGCACATGTACAGTACCAAACTGCAGTGTACGTAGAACGTACTAGGTACTGTACGCACGCACACAGTACAGTTGGCACTTCCATGATCTCGATCGCGGTGAGCTCAATCGCCCGTCCGTACATCGATCATGGTCATGGATTATTATTGGGTGATGCATGATCAATTAATGGCTAATTAACCACAAATAAATATATGCATGATTGGATATATGGGGGATCGAGCGAGATTGATATACATTGTGCATGCATCCTTTAATTTTGTTAGGAGGGAAGAACCCTACTAGGGCACGCCCACTCTACTAGTGTAGTGTGCACCCCAAGTTAGAACACAATAATAATGCGGTAGAAATTAGATATATTATGTCGCAATTATAACACATATTAATGGATTTTCAACTAATTCTGCTGCTAAATTATGAATAATGGATCGACAGGCAGAATACATGCATTGATGCATATAGAACATGGATCTACTGGTTGTTAAAATATCATATCATCATATAGGGAGTATTTCGAAGCGCTTGGACAATAGAACATGTAGCCACAAGAAAAATCATCAGGGTGAGATTGATATTGTGTTTTTTATTAATAGGAAAAAACATCATTTATTTATCTAACAAATTATATGTCTTTGTCTTAAAATATAAGAAATTTTATCCATATATATTTTTTACATTCCAAGATAAAGGTTATAGTATATGTCAGTTTTACATAAGTGGACCAATACTAAAGAAAGCCAATAACTATCTCATACTACATTTACTCTGACAACAAACTCAATGTATATATAATCCTTACTATTTTCTAGCTAATAACAAATTAGCAAGACATTGCATGTTGGTTGTAAAGAGTTTTGTGCATGGATGTATACACTTGTCCATTACTCTTATGCACAAATAATAAATAGACATGGAGAATGAATATTGATATAACGATAATTTAAAAATAGCATAAAAATGTTATATGATGATCAATTGAAAATAAAAATATTATATGATGACCAATTGAAAATAAAAGGAGTATAACTCAAGTGAATGGGCACTGCAGGACAATCGTAGGAGTACCATTCACCATGCCTTTCCTGCATAAATGCAACAACCATCAACTCAAAAGCAGACAACAAATTACTGCCAGGTCACCCCAACCCCTTGGCCCCACTGTCAGTGACTAACCCCCCTCCATCGTCCTGGCCCACTGACCCCGTGGCCCCACCCACCATCTTCTACTCCCTCCATAAAAAAAAAGACAAACTCTGGTTTCCGTGTCCAACGATTGACCGTCGGTCTTATTTGAAAAAATTATTAAAAAAATTAAAAAAACAAATCACGCATAAAATATTAATCATGTTTTATCATTTTATCATCTAACAACAATGAAAATACGAATTATGAAAATTTTTCATATAAGACGGACAGTCAAAGTTGGACACGGAAACTCAGGGTTTGTCTTTTTTTTTACGGACAGAGGGAGTACCCATGATCTGCCTGTCCATCCGGCCCCACCACTCCACAGGTCAGCCACTGTCCTCTCTCCCCCCGACACACCTGCCCCGCACGTGCGCTCCACTGACACGCGGGCCCCATACCTCCCCACCACGTGTCCACCTCCCGATCCGCATCCGACGGCGAAGGGAGGCTGCTCTCACGGCGTGCGTGTATACGAGTACGACAAGCGGCGTCTCGAGCCACGTGGCGGTGAAGGCGTATTCTACCGGAATACGCCTTCGCGAGCTGGGACGCGTACTTGCCGCCGTTTATAAGCTTAGGCCGTCGTCCTCTCCGCGAGGGAGAAAGGTGAGCAGTAGTAAATTGGACACCGCACCACCACCGAAAAGCTCGCACTCTCCTAACCATGGCGTCGCCGCCGACGCCGCAGCCGCCGCCGCCGGTCGACGTCGACCTCGGCAAGCTCAGCTACGAGATATTCTCCCTCCTCGAGAGCAACTTCCTCTTCGGCGCCGGCGCCGGCGGCGGCGGAGGTGTTTGCTCGCTGCCTGGGACGCCCGGGAGGGCGCTTCTTGGAGGGAAGGTGAGGGTGCTCGCGATCGATGGGTGTGGTCCGGGACCAGGTGATGCTCTGCTGGCGGCGGCGGCGCTGGTGAGGCTGGAGACGGCGTTGCGGGAGAAGTCCGGCGATGGCGATGCGAGGGTGGCGGATTTCTTCGACGCGGCGGCGGGGGCCGGGGCGGGGGGTGTGTTGGCGGCGATGCTGTTCTTGAAGGGGGCGGATGGGCGGCCGCGGTACACGGCGGCGGACGCGCTGGCGTTCGTGGCGGCGAGCCTCGGGAAGGGCGGGTGGCGCGGCGGCGGCGGCGGCGGCGGGGGGAGGAGGTGGTGGGGGGTGGCGGCGCTGTTCCGGCGCGGGTCGTCGGCGGAGAGGTCGTCGCTGCGGCGGGTGTTCGGGGACGCTCACGCTGGGACAACTGTCGCGCCGCTGCTCGTCCCGTGCTACGACCTCGCCACCGCGGCGCCGTTCCTCTTCTCCCGCGCCGACGCCGTCGAGAGCGGCAGCTTCGACTTCCGCCTCCGCGACGTCTGCGCCGCGACGTGCGCCGGCGGGGCCGCCGCCACGGCCGTCCGCTCCGTCGACGGCCGCACCGCCATCGCCGCGGCGTCGGGCGGCGTCGCGGCCATGGGCAACCCCACCGCCGCCGCCATCACCCACGTCCTCCACAACAAGCAGGAGTTCCCCCTCGCCGCCGGCGTCGACGACCTCCTCGTCGTCTCCATCGGCTCCGGCTCCTCCTCCGCCGCCACCCCTTCCACCGCCGCCGGGTGGCGAACGCCTCTCCCCTCCCGCTCGCCGTCGCCCGCCGAGATGGTCCGCCTCACCGCCGAGGGCGTCGCCGACATGGTAAAAAAAACACACACCCACACCCAATCCCAACCCTCCATCTCGAATCCGACGGCTCCCATCGAACCACGTCACTAACTCACCATGGGTAAAACCGTAAATTCCCAGGTCGACCAAGCGGTGGCCATGGCTTTCGGACACACGTGTGGGCGCAACTACGTCCGCATCCAGGTCAGACCCGAAAAATCTAATTACCGAATTACCCCTCCATTTTTACCATTTTACCCCTCATTTTTACTGACCTCGTCGGCGATGTGTGTTCACTGACCAGGCGGCGTCGCCGGCGTGCAAGACGAAGGCGCTGAGCTCGGTGGACGCGAAGAAGGCGGCGGCGATCGCCGACGGGATGCTGACGCAGCGGAACGTGGAGGCGGAGCTGTTCCGGGGGCGGCGGCTGTCGGAGAAGTCAAACCGGGAGAAGCTGGACGCGTTCGCGGCGGAGCTTGTGAAGGAGCACGAGCGGCGGCGGGCCTCGCCGGGGCTCCCCAACGTGGTCATCAAGCAGGTGGCCGCCGCCGCCGCCGCCGTGACGCCGGCGCGCCTCTCGTCGGCGACCACCACGTCGTCCGCCACCGCCACCACCGCCAGGACCACCGTCTCCAGCATGCCGTCGCCGGCGGCGTCGCTGGACTCCGGCCGCCACTAGCAGCGGCGGCGGCGATCGCCGGCGACGTCGTACGTGTAGAAGTTTTGTACATTTGCCATCCATGGACAGACCGATCGAGGAGATGGTTATTTAATTTTTTTTTTATTTACGTCTTCCGATGAGTCACTGACATGCGGGCCCAACCAAGATGGAAATGAGGTGAAATATTTATAAACTTAAGTTATATAAATATTTATGTAACTTATATCCATCAAGCAAGGATATGAATGTTATTTATTCGGTTAGTTAGTTTCGTGCTCGAATGGTTTCGAATTCTTCTATAAAAATGGGTTATTAAGATATGCAAGAAACTTGTGCAAGTTGCAAAGCAAAAGCAGATGATGCCTTGACAAAGTCTCCTCCTCATCATCATCCATTCATCCTCCTCCCAAAATTTTTCAATTCATTTTCCCTCCCATCAGATTGAAATTGACAGGATTCGGATCATCACTGTCCTAATCAGCGATTAGTTCCTGATGTTAATAGACTACTAATCCTACTGCCATGGATTGCAATGTTTAAACTCCCATTTAATCAAATTCATTAGCCTCCTTTTCCGTATCAGTGTAGTACATTTTTTGTCCAGCATGAATGCTGCACAGTGGCAGCTAAACTAGCTATATAGCTCCACTACAACACTGAATCAACGATGAACATATAGTGATAAAAATAATTAATATCCCCTTGACGATTTTAATTCAATTCTTGTAGTAGCTTGCTTTCAAGTGAGAAAAATAGGCTGGGGAAGATGAGACTTGAAGTCTGCATAAAGTTGCTGATAACTTCTACGTACTCTTCAGCTGCATCATTGCCTGCCATGGACACTGTAGTAGCTTCAGATTGTTGTAATCCTTTCCTGTACTCCATTTCTTGTAGCCTTATACCGTATAGGCGTATATACACAGTATATACAAATAGTTTTACAATGGTCTCTCTACTAAGTAGAAGTAATCTAGACCATTCATATTTTGTAACATAATCGATTTATTTATACTTCCACCTCAACTAAACTTTCAATGGTCTCTATTTATACCATTATCTCAACAACTGATGGTAGAATAAGTATTTTTTTCTATTAGTAGTATAACTCATAAATTAACGGTTGATATCGTTTTTATTGGTGATAATACCAATAGTAAAATATTGCCATTATATACAATCGTAAAGATATCGTATACGGAGTATATACGTAGCTGAAGAAGTAGGTACTGTGTGTAGGCAGCAAGCCCCTTTCTGACACTTTAGTTTGATCCAATCCAATCCTGAAAACTTTAATACTGTAGTATAGTAGACTAGTAGTAGACCAGTAGTAGTTTGATTTTGGTAGTCCACTAGTATCAAGCAAGGATATATGTTGTTTTCAAGCCTATTTATTTTTGTTTCTCACCAATCATATATACATTTCCCCATAAGGTTGGAAAAAGAAACATGGAAATCATTCTTGAGTGAGGACATAACTATATCTGAGCTAATAATATGTACAAACTCGGTTCGAATTAGTTGGCCTTCTCAACCAGAGTTTATGCTTTTGATTTTGGCGAAAATTTTGGTAGGACCAAAATTTTGTGATTTTTAGCACTTTTCAAACCAAAAATTTTTGAGATTTCGACTTAATTTGAATAAACGTTGACCAACTTTAAAAAAAAAAGAGAAAACCTGAAAATTTCGGTTGATAGATTTGCCGGTGGGGTCCAAAATTACCAAAATTTTGTTCTCAACATTACTGAGGATTCATCTGGAACATAGGATCTCACATAAAGCTCTACAAATTACATATGATTTTTTCCAATTTTATATCGGGACGCGGAAAAATATCCGTGTCCCGGACGAACTTGAAACTGGAACTGAAACTGACAAAAGTGGACGCTGATGGGCAAGCTACGATCCTCCAACCCAATAGCTGCCATTTGAACTACCAGCTGGGTTACTTACATGGACTTTTTCTTCAGATCACACGGATGGAGAAGACTAGCAGAAACAGCACATACCAAACTCTTTCTGTTCTTGTGCTCAAAAACAGTGGCTGCTGCAGCATCTGAATTCTGCATGTACCACTACTCACCAAATTCACCAGCTGCATGCACAGATGCTACTGAGATTTTTCACAGGCAACTCGAAGACAAGAAAAAAAGATGAGCATCTCTTCAGTTCAGTACAGTACTGCTGCAAATCTGGGAGATTCCTGTACTTGTGTTTGATATCTTAAAAGATTGCAAATTGCAATTTGTTCAGGGCTCCATGCATCTCACGGCGCTGCATTTGGCCCAATGCTCTTAGCTAGCTTCAACCGCGGTTAATTCCTGAACTAATTTAGTATCTGCACACGATCTAGTAATCTACAAAGGCTGAAAAAACTGCATCATTTTTTTTTCAGAATGGAGGTAAATAAATAAATTACAGTCTTAGAGAGAGTGTAGGTAAGTTTTTTTTTCCCAAGAGATAAACTAACTAACCAACGCCATAGATCTCACGTCGCCCAATTACCAACGCCTGATCTGAGTGATCACCTCGTTAACCATCATCTCTCCTACCTCTAAGTGCGATTTTTTCACCGCCTCCGAGCAGTTGAAAGTTGTTGTCACTGCGATCCTCGGATGCTGTGGCCTGAGGATTTCTTTTTCTCAGTGGCCTCTTAATTGCTCGAGCATTTGGGAATTTGGGAGCAGAGAGATTCAGAGATCAGAGAGCTTCACTGGAACCTTCCATGTGGTGGGCAAATCCAGCAAGATTAACAGCTTTGTTTAACCATTCAGGTAACGTGATCGAGTCAGACTTTTGTCGTCGAGTTTTCGCGGCAAATTTCGCTTGCAATTTGTAGCATGTCGAGACGAATCTGCAGCTTTAGTTTTTAGTTTCAGTGTCTGAATATTTTAGTTTCAGTGAAGAAACACATTGATCTAGGAGAGCTTTGCTTGATTCTTATTTTTTTTTACCTCTGCTGTTTTCAACCAAAGGTCAGCGTTGAAATGTTAGGTTAACAAATTACTACTAGGGTCAGCTACACATAATGTGGTTAGTTATTGTTAATTACTGCATGGTCCATGGCCATGGGTTTAGAGGGCAGTAAAAAAAATGTAAAATTAACACTGCTAGCTTGTATGGCATATTTAACTAGAATTAACCAGCTCAAGATCTTATGAGGGTCTCTTCCCTAGTCATATATGGTTGAAACGACATGACCGAGATCTCTGAATGAGTAGTTAATTCAGGTTACCTGCTACTGCTAGTTAATTAGCTCGTGAAGCACATTTTTTTTCCTGTCATGTTTTTCCCTTTCAGAAGTTCAGAGACTTGAGCAAGCCCAGGTTGTACTAAACTAGTAATGCAGCCAAAATCACTCAGAAAAAACTACTAATTTGGAGGATTTTGCTGAAGTTCATTGTGATTATTGGCACATGCAAAAGGCTTGAGAACCTGTTCTTGCAGTCTTTTGTCCTTGATCAATTGGCTTCAGAGAAAATGTACTTGTGCTGTTATGCACTTATGCTGATGAAGTGAAAGGAATTTAGGCCGTGTTTAGTTCACACCAAACTTTCCCCAAACTCCCAACTTTCCATCACATCACATTACATCCAAAACTTTCCTACTCACATAAACTCCTAACTTTTTTTCCAAACTACCAACTTTCCCTAAACTTCTCCCTAATTTCAGGAACTAAACACAGCCTTACAAAGAAATGTAAAACACCGTCATCGACGCATGTAAAATGGTCGGTCACCGAAAAACGCTATTAGTTGCCCGAACTCCACAGCACCGCAGGCTCCACCACTGGTGAAACAATTTTGGTTATGGAGTGTGTCAGTTTGAGTGAGATCCCGCCTTGTCATGAAACGCATGGATACTTCCATTGTCCCTCAAAAAGACAGTGGGTAGTAGTAAAGGTGAAAGCATGGCTAATTTATAGGTGAACACCAAAGCAAAAGTGCAGATGTGAGTAGTTACACTTGTCCCCATGAAAGTGGTAGGAGCTCAAAAGGAGAAAAAAAAAAGAGAGCAGGGGTCATTCTTCCATTGCCTTTTTCACCATTGGTAATCTAACCTAAACATGATGCAAAAGTTTGTTCACATGTTGACACAAAAATAAACTATCCTTATGCAAAGCCATTTACCCCTTTTCCTGCTACATGTTCAGCTCATGTATGTACTGATAGTACACTATACTTTGATGTTCTTCTATCATTTGGGGGCATGCATAGTTGAGTGGTCCAAAAATCACAATGGGCTTTATGGCATATTGGCATCCTCATTAATACCTTTTCTCACTGAAATTCAGAGGCATCCATCCATCAATCAATCAATCATCATCCAAGGGACCCAACGCCAAGCAGAGATAAATTCGAGATCAATTCTATGCTCTGTTTCAGACAGTCCTTTTTTATGGTGTAGTAGTACTTGTACCAGTATCAGCTTCCATGCTGCATTAAACCAAAGCAACTTCTGCTCATCAACTAAAGCTTCAGTCTTTCAGAAAAAGAAAACTTCATAATTTGTTTTGCCTAATTTGCAGAATACGTACTTTCTTACTAACTCATATATAATCCATAACCTTGTTAACTCATTCATAGATATAATTATATAAACTTTGAACAAGAGAAGAAATGAAAGAAAGAGAGCAAGGAATAGCATATAGTAGCAGACAGCAGGAAAAGCAGAGCCAAGCTCAAGTCACGAGCAAGATCTTGCTGCTAGTAGTATAACTTTGCATTTGAAATTTGCTCCTAATTCGTTCGAATTAAAGTTGACAGCAGTCACCATCAGCCAATGATTGGATCATTGAAGATTTTGGGAAATGGAGACTGGAGAGTGCAGAAATGCAGCAAAGTCTGAAGAAGAAGAAGAACTGAAGAAGGGTTTCCTTTCTGATCTCGCACGCCATCTCGAGGAAATTTTGCATGACCAAAGTCAGAAATTGCGAAGCTAACTATACCTAAGTACGTATGTACGAGCATCCTTTATTCTGTTAGTCTCAAACGAATTTGAAACGGATTGGCAAACTTGGGTGATGACCATTGTGAGAGTCCTTGCGTTTCATCAAGAGTGTACGCTTGGGTTTGTGACAAAATTTCATGCTAAATGCATGCTTGCTTGGGTTCGCAGCCTACATGAGCCAAAGTTTTGTCATTTGAAGACACCATTTTTATCCTGATGTCAAAATTTTGGTAAAATCATCTTCGCTGTAAGTTCACCTTTTTAATCTGCAGACGATGTCAAAAGTTCTTTGATTAACTTTTCACCTACAGCTTCAATCCACCGAGGCCTTTGTTTGGATAGGCCCCGAAATATACATCCAAGTTTGTGGGCCAGGATTTTAGCCCAAGTATCTAGCCCACATATGGATGGGCTAGAACTGAGGCCCATATAAGCAAGGCCCTGAGACTGTTAACCAAAACAGGCCACAAGCCCACTCAACGGCCCAAGAGGACAACCAAGCCCACCTCCAAGCACTGAATAGGCTGAGTTTGAGGCCCAACCAAACGAGGCCTGAGGCTCACAACCAAACAGGCCAACAAGCCCATCATCATCAACACAAAGGCCCATCAGGCCCACTCCACGGCCCAATAAGACAGTCCGGCCCACCTCCCAAACCGCCATAACTTTTCCTCCAAGCAATACATCCCAACCAAACCGTCCCGACCCCTTACGCCACTGACACCACGACCCCACACCTCCCGTACCCCACATGTCATCCTCCTCTGACCCCGCGACTCCACGCCTCCCCACATCTACCTCCACCCATCGACCTCTTCTCCCACCGACACGTGGGCCCAATGCACGCGTGGATCGGTGGGTCCCACGTGTCAGCCACTGCCCTCCCGGGGAAAATATCTCACGTCCTGTGCCTTTTAACCCCATTCGCCTCTCCCTTCTTTTTCACTTCGTCTCCTCTCCCCTCCAAAACCCTAAACCCCCCAAACCCTAGCCGCCGCCGCCGCCGCCGCAGTCGTCGCCGTCGTCGCAGCAGCAGCGGCAGCGTCACCACCGCGACCGGCGGCTGCAGCGATGTACTCTATCCTTCGCCGCGCGGCGCCGCTCCGGCGGCGCGCCGTTTCCGCCCTGGCCGCCGCGGTTCTCCGGCGGGAGGAGGCGGCGGCGGAGGTGGTCGTGTCGCGGCGGGCGACGATCCCGGCGGCGTGGTTCCACTCCTCCCCGGCGTGGCTGGGGTTCCGGGAGACGGGGGCCGCGGGGGCGGCGGCGAGGCCGCAGTACGCGGCGGATGAGGGGTTGTTCTACGAGGAGGATAAGAGGGGGGCGAAGGCGGGTGGAGTTGCTGCGGGCGGCGCGGAGGAGGGGTTGGAGGTGGCCAAGCTCGGGATCTCGCCCAAGATCGTCAGCCAGCTCGCCTCGCGCGGCATAACCAAGCTGTTCCCAATCCAGGTATCAGGAGCCGGCAGTCCCCCCATCTTCTGTTCCATTTCCAATTGAATCGTGAACAATTTGTTCCTTGAATCATACTTTCGTAGCGAAAGTTTCATCCTCTTTTACAAATTGTGGCACTCATATGCCAAGCTGCATCATGATCGCTTGAGCTAAGATTTGGGTCATGTAGTCAAGATTGAAGTGTGATCAATAGGTGCAGAGATATTCAGTGCTTAAGAAAATTAGTCAGAGTATCTGTGAGGGGGTTAATTCTTTATCTGCCCTAAATTATGCTTCTTTTTGTGTGCTGTACACTGCTTGATGCTGAATTACCAGCACTTGTTATGGGATTTCTATATTCAGACATTTAAGTTATACATTGAAATATTTGCTGTGATTATTGTGATATCCACTTTATATAACTGCACAAGTAGACAAATGCCTGGTTCAGATATTTTGGTTTGTTTAGGAGTCACGGGGAAGCTGTTTTTGGATAAATATGTGCGTTTGTGTGTAAATAGGTGTAAATAGATTAATAGACATAACACAGTGCGGCAATTCAATCATTTATATTTTTTTATTCTCGAGCTTATAGTGGCTCATTTATAGTGGCTTCTCCATGTATGCTGTGGCCAAGTTTCAATGTTTTCCTGGCAATAGCATAGGACATTCAAGTTACTTTCATATATTAAGTCAACGGTTCATTTTGTTCAGTAATAATCATGGACTTATGTTTTGCTGCTCTGCGCAGAGAGCTGTCCTTGAACCAGCAATGCAAGGAAAGGACATGGTTGGTCGTGCCAAAACAGGTACAGGAAAGACTTTGGCTTTTGGAATCCCCATACTGGACGCAATTATTCGGCACAATGAAAAGAATAGGTAAGTTTTGGTCCTATTGTCTTCATATATTTTTTTCTTTACTACTATTGGTTTGTTCCTCTTTGTTTTTTGGGTAACCTTTGAGCCTTTGGATGCAACAGCCCTGGTAAATTTCCCTTGGCTATTGTTTTGGCCCCAACAAGAGAACTCGCGAAACAAGTTGAGAGGGAATTTTCTGATTCTTCCAATGTGGAAACGATCTGTGTATATGGTGGAACTCCAATTAGCCAGCAAATAAGACAACTCAATTATGGAGTTGATGTTGTTATTGGGACACCAGGACGAGTAATTGACCTGCTTAAAAGAGGTGCTCTGAATCTGTCAGAGGTCCGGTTTGTTGTTCTTGATGAAGCAGACCAGATGTTGTCAGTGGGTTTTGATGAAGATGTTGAGACAATTTTGGATAGAGTACCTCCAAAACGTCAAACCTTGATGTTCTCTGCGACTATGCCAACTTGGATTCAGAGACTCACCCAGAAATACCTTAAGAATCCTGTTACAATTGACCTTGTGAGTTTTATACTTGCTAAACTCCTTTGCTCTTGGTTTTACACATAATCCATTGCATAGATTGTGGAACTATATCTGTTTTTATTTAAAATGCACTCTCCTCTTGCTGTGTTTCAATGCATTAGTGGCATTGTCAGATTGTAAACTAAATTGCCATGATAACTGTAGTTCTGTTGTATTTATATTTTGTTTTGCTAGATGCCTGATCCTTCAAACCTTAAATGCTACTCTTGAATTCTGTTGAATCTTTTATATTCTAATTAATATATATTTCATTGGTGCAAAAGACCAATGCAGTATAAGAACTTGAGGTATTAGCATTAATTATTTCCAGCAAGGTATAAAATTTACCTTGAAGTACATTTTTTTTGGTTCGTTTCATTCACTATCTTCAGTAGTATAACTGCCAAATGAAAACTATTGAGGCAAATATGGTCCAGTTTAATCTATTTTGAATTATACAGTTAAAATTGTTCTTATGTCTTTCCATTAAGAAGTCATTGGCACAATATCTGGTACTACTTTATGATATTATTCCTTTTATAGGTGGGTGAAGATGATCAGAAGCTAGCAGAAGGAATCAGTCTTTATTCTATCGCTTCAGAGGGCCATGCCAAACCTGCTGTCCTTGGAGAATTGATTAAGGTGAATGTAGTTTACTGTCATTTTTTATGTTTGACCATATCGACCTTAAATACTAATTTTTACTATAAAATGCTTTAAATTAATTGTTCATTCATTTCAGGAGCATGCAAAAGGTGGTAAATGCATTGTATTTACACAAACAAAAAGAGATGCTGATCGATTGTCCTACACCATGGGTCGGAGTTTCCAGTGCCAGGCCCTTCATGGGGACATCACACAAGCCCAAAGAGAGAGAACATTAAAAGGATTCCGTGAAGGCCATTTTAATATTTTGATTGCCACTGATGTTGCTGCTCGTGGTTTGGATATCCCAAATGTAGACTTGGTTAGTGTTTTCCTTGATTATTCTGCTCTTCTAATTTTGTATGAAATAGCTGTTTCTAGGTTGGTTTTCTTTCGCTGTGTTTTAGGTTGTTTTTTTTTAAATAAAAATAGCAACTACACTTTGTGTTGAACAGTGCTTGAGTGACTTCCCTTCCTTTTACAGGTGATACATTTTGAATTGCCAAACTCCTCGGAATTGTTTGTTCACAGGTCTGGCCGAACTGGCCGTGCTGGAAAGAAGGGTAAGGCAATTGTTATGCACAGCTATCAACAAAGTAGAGCTATCAGGATGGTTGAGAATGATGTTGGCTGCAAATTTACAGAGGTAAGACTTGATTGTATGCAAATGCAAAGCTGAGAGCCAATGTATCTTAGCATATACAGCTTTCTATGCAAGTTAATTTTCAAACCATTTCTCATACATGATTCTAAAAGAGCTATCCAATTTGATCCAGCTTCCAAAGATTAATGTTGAAGGTTCTGACTTGATGAGTGGTGGCTTTGATTCCTTCGGTGGTGGTGGATTTGGTCGTGAAGGGGGTGGGTCCTATGGGCGTCGTGGTAGTTTTGGCAGCTCTTCAAGCCGAGGCGGTGGGTTTGGTGATTCAGGGTTTGGTCGTTCAGGTGGTGGATTTGGCCGTTCTGGTGGTGGAGGATTTGGCCGTTCCAGTGGTGGTGGCTTCGGTGATTCTGGGTTTGGCCGTTCAGGTGGTGGTGGTTTCGGAGACTCAGGATTTGGTCGCTCAGGTGGTGGCGGTTACGGTGATTCAGGATTTGGTAGTTCCGGCGGTGGCTCAGGCCGTTCTGGTTTTGGCCGGTCAGGTGGATTTGGAGATTCTGGCTCAGGTAGGTTTGGTGGGGGATTTGGTAACTCTGGCTCAGGCAGTTTTGGCAACTTTGGCGGCAACAATTCTGGACAATCCGGTGGGTTTGGCTCCTCTTAGATTGGCAGCTTCTATACTAGGGCAAAAGTAACTACAGTTTTTTATCTATGCTATGGGTGCCTGCTACAAATTTAGATGGACGGTTTTCAGATATTGTCCACCACCACAGAAGGGAATTCCTGACCAATTGTTTGTTTTCCGGAATCACTACAAGACTGGATATCTAGTGCAAATAGCATATGCTTATCGTTATTATGGGTGAAGGGAATATGAAGGCAGCAGAAAATAATCACGAGTCTTATTTTGTTTTTCTTAGTTATTCCTCCTGCAGGCATTCATGTTTGCAGGAGGACTTTAGTTTCTGGTGCTCGATCTAGCTCATACCTGTAAAATATGGCAGAGGATCTTCTGCAGATGATATATTATAAGTATCTTTTTTTGGTAGTAGTTCTGTATTGTATTTACCGGTGCCTTTCTAGACTATAATAACCTAGATACCTAATGATCAGAATTGCGGCTTCAATTCTGTAGTAGTGTTCATCTGCAATGGAAGGATGGCGGCTAAGATGTGACCATTGTCTGAAGTTTCTCGTGCTTCTTGCACTGGTTGATGCACATGCCAGAACCAAAAGAAATGGGATGCTTTCTTTAGATTTTTTTTTTCTTTTCCACTTTGACGAGGCTGCATTCTTTCAAAGAATTTCTTTGATATCCTGGAAAAGCATTTTCGCTGAAGAAAATGCTGGACAAGCTGTAATGCTGTCCCCCTCCTGATGAGGCAGAATTTATGTTAATCTCAAAGAAAATGTGTATGCCGGTTAGCAAAGGCACAGCTTCAGTGCAGAATTAATTAATTAATGCGAGCATGAATTGTTAGTGTATGTACTGCTGCTACTCCGTGGACCATCAGAAACGTACATGAGACTAAAATGTCAAGAGTGTATTACTTGAATGGCCAAACAGTCAGAAAGCCGAGTTATTCAAAGCGTATTGCTTAGTACAAGTCAGTGGCCATGCGTGCACAATGGCCAGTACTTCAAAGTTCTAACTACTTCTAAGTAGCTTATCAAATAACACAATAGTGTTAACCGAACCAGCAAGATTGTGTGTGTCACCAGGATCATGTGCAGCTTTCAAGTCATATTACTTCTCTGTCGGTTGATTGGTCATACACTCTAGCTTCATTTGTTCCTTGCTTTTCTTACTCACAAGGATAGGGATGAACATGGAGCTTCATTTGGTTCTTGGCTTCTTGCTCTTCTACTCACAAGGATATGGATGAACATGTAAATTTAAAGCTGGAAATTTGGAATGCAAAATTGCATTGTCACAACTCACAGTCCCATTACTGATAAAAAAAAAGGTATACATATGTATAGTCATGGATATATACAAGGCCAACACTGCATCGACAAGGATAAGGGAGCAACTTGATAGGAGTGAATTTCACATTGTGTTATTTGAGGGACTAAGCTCCCAATTCAAAAAGCCTGCATATATTTGATTGGATGTAGAGACGGGTAAAAAAATACCTCTCTAGAAAAAAAGGAGCAACTTGATTAGATTGTGACAAATTTCCACATGCTGTTACTATTAGTGACAGTATGCCTAATCTGTTTGACCAGTACTTGCCTGAACTTTTATTTCTTGAGAGCTGTACTTTTCTGAACTGGATAGCATTATAAACCCCTTGTCATTTTCTTATCATTTGTATTTGGCTTGCCTGTTCCTGTCAGCAAATAGGGCTCCATGTCTACAGCTATGGACCTATCCACAGTGTCTTTTCTATTTTTCGATGATGGAATTTAACTTGGCCTCTAAATCCACATTATGACAAAAGGCTTCGCTTGGCATGACATCAGTTTGGGTCATTTTCCTTCCATGGCTAGTGGACAATGAATTATTTTTGGGAGGTTTTGCTTTCTTTTTCACCTCATCCAGAAGCAAGGATGAATAAAATGTCCTCATCATGTTTAACCAAGTTGCTGCCAAAAGACAATTTGGTCAGAGTATTACAAATATTCTCTCTCAAAGAGTGTAAAATATTTGCTTTTTCAAAAAATGCACTATTGTTTGTTAAGACAAAATATTTAATTTCAGTGTTTTTTTTCAACTTTCCATTTTCTCCAAAAGACTAGTTTTTGTCAATTGTTTTTTTTTTCGGTATAACTCTTGAAGTCAAGGTAATGAACAATCACTATGGACTTTTCATGTGGTGCATTAGTTATATACCTCTCTAGTCAATCAATTAATAAATGTATGATATGTTCTAAATGCCAAAAATGAAACTATATAAACTCCTTCATGAAAGACTTGGGGGTATATCCTAGGTGCAAAATTGAGGATTTACTCCCAGAAGGTCAATGTAAAAAATATTTGAGCAGAATTTGAAGTAACTATATATAATGTATTAATAAATAATGAAATGAATCTAATTAAGTTGCTCATACATCTTGTATAATAAACACCCTGAGTCAAGCTGAAAAAGTCTTCCCTTTTCATTTCATTTTATTTTGAAAGAAACCTTCTTTCCATTTTCAACCTTGACTAAATCTACAAAATTCTTGTGTACCATCCATGCATGATAACGAAACTTGGAACCTTTCGACATGACATGAAATGTCTGAGATGTACTCATTGACCTAAATAATCTCATTTGTTAGTAGTTTACTACTAGAGGTGTAGAGCCGGGACAGAGACTGATTGATGAATACATATTCTTGCCTCTTCAAAATCCACTGTCTAGTTCATCTAGTTTGCAATTATTAGAGTAAAACTGCACTGGTATGCATTTTTCACTAAGAGGGTTCATCAAAGTTCTGCTAATGATTTAAAATTTACATCATGCATTTTAAAGAAACTGAATGAATAGTACTAGTATTTAAAATTTACCTCATGTATTCAAGAAGTGATATGCTTAGTTACTTGATGTGTACATGTTTACTTTTGAAAAAAAGTAAATTTCAGAAAACTACAACTATAATGATAAAACTATTAGTTTGTTACAACATGTAGGTGACAACAGTAAGCTTGAGCTACGTAAAAGTTACAGTTTTGTGATAATTTCTCGCGTTATCATTGTAGCAAACTGAAATATATTGCTAATGTTACAGCAAACTGATAGTTTTGTCACTGTAGTTACAGTTTTCTGAAATTTACTCTTTAAAAAATCCAAACAATAAATTTCCTCAGATTCGATAACATACTTGAATAAAAAAAATACGGTGCACTAGAAGTTATACATGTTTAAACAATGGGACAACTGAGAAATTTGGTGCACAAGAAGTTAATGAGAGGAGAGAAGGATGGAAGACTTGATCAATGGGAATATGTGGTCAATGGGTCCTCACTATGAATCTATAATATTTGCAGAACTTAAAATGCTTGAAGATTTCTTAGGTCGTCCTATGAGCTAATGAGCAGCCTTTGAATTTGACTTTGACAGGCAGCAAGCGGCAGGGATTCTCCAGAGCTGAGTCAGCTTAACATTTTGGTTGTGATTTTATAACTAAATTCTTTTCTTCAGCTCAAAAGGTCAAAATTTGGAGTGTATTTGATAACTCATGTAATGAATGGGTCAAGTATATTATTTGCATGAAAATATGTAGGCACAAAGAAGATTGAATTGTTCTGTCACTTTGGATGAGAAAAATTGAAGTCGTATACGAGATCCAACTTTGACAATTAAAGCCATGATCAATTTAATAACTGGATCACATGTACAATGGTCATTGAATTATCTGTTAAAATCTTTTGTCTGTACTAAGTGACAATGACATTTTGCATGCTCACTGTAATGCAGAATACATTGTTCAGAAGTACAACCCAACGCACACCTTTTCAGTTGTATTAAGAGGATCATCTTGTTCACTTATATTAGTCCTAATCATGGAACAGCGGTAGGAAAACTTGCATGTCAAACTGCAGTTAAGGAGTACACCGACATGGTTGTTTCCGTGGAGCCCTTTTGAGTGGATTCCATGAACTATTTAGAAATATTGTTTATGCTTGTAATTTTTTCAGTCTTCAAAATGATTTATATAAACTATACATTTTTCTTGATGAAATGGATATTTCTGTTATACAACTATATTTTAAAACTAAATATTAAATATTTTGGAATTGGAGTATATATATGCCTTTTTGGGAGCAAGTCCTTTTCTATTTACAAATCAATTTCATATGGTCTCTGAAGTCTGAACAGAAATGGCACCTCAAACAGTGTGAACGACTGCTAAGTAACACCTAATCCATCAACCTATATCCATCTATAGTATAATCAACTCAAGATCTTGGGTATTAAGCATTAAGAACTAACTTAAGAAATATGTGAACACAGACACTTCACAACAACTCTAAATCACCTTACATCATTAGAATAACTTAAATCTGATTCTTCCGAGAATAAGAAATGTACAAAATATTAATTTGTTTATCTTTGTTTATGCTTGTCGTTTCCTTGTGTGAGGTCAGCACTATGTCTTTTCCATGCTACTTCCCAGAGTTGCAACCAGCTAAAGTCAATCCCAGTGGGACATCTGCTGGTGGACTCCCATATATTCAGGGATTCAGGGCAGAGAGCAGTATGCTTTTGCTTCTAAAATTGCAGATTCATACTCTCTCCTCTTCTTTCTCCTCTTCTCCAAGAGTTCTTTGCTGGGTGCTGGCTGTTCTTGGATATTCATACAGATTACAGGCCTCAAGTCTTTCTGCTGGTGAATTAACTGATCTTCAGGTGAGTTTTGCTTATTGGATTTTTTTTTCTTCATTGCTGAATCTACTAAATTCTGTGTCTAGGTCTGTTGCAAGAATTTCATTGCTCTTGTCTCTACTGAATATTTCAATTCATCTAGGGAAAGTTTTTCATGGAAACCTTTTTCAGGAAAGGTATTAGTTCAGTTTTCTTTGGATTAGACTGTATTTAATGGGCTCTTCCTTTCGGTTCTTGTGCTTATCATCAGTTCATCTATTTCTGTTTGTAACCGTCAGTTCATCTTCTGAAGATCAACGGTCACACCGCAAACTTGGTTACTCTACAATTCAATGTGAATACAAGTGTTTTTTCTCATGGATTTTGTTGGACAACATACAATTCTTAACTCTGACTGGGACGAGTGTTTCTCTGTCAGATTTGCATACTTCATGTCTTTATTTCTTTGTTACAATTTTTCTGAGTTTTCTAGAGATTTTGTTCTTCGTTTCTGCTCTCTGGGCTCACAGCAAGGAGAAACACAAGAAAAGAGACGGTGTGTCTTTTCTTCCTTGAGGGCATGAGTTTTGCCCTTTTTTCTTGAAATTACTCTAGAAAGAGAAAAGTAGGTTCATTGTGTAGAATTTTTCAACAAAGTACTACATTATCTCAATCTCTTTTTATCGATCGATTATTTTCTCTCAGGTTTATACTTTTATACCAAGAGTACTTTTACGGTGATCTCTACATGATATTCTGAAGATATAGCTGAAGAGTCCTAGAAGAAAAACCCTGAATTACAGTAATGACTTGCTTTCCTGCGTTCTGGAGAAACAAAAAATCCAGGAGTCAAATTGTGCAGCATGACAAAGGTAAACCCTCACATTTCATCAAATTTTCTTCTTCTGAAACATCCAGATGCCTTCTTCTGATTGATCTTGTTCTTTCCCAGATACACCGATCATCAGAAATGTGAAGATCTACTCCTCCAAGGAGCTCAGAAAAGCCACAAAAAATTTCTGCTCAGGACACAAACTAGGACAGGGTTCTTTTGGCTGCGTCTACCTGGTAGCTTGCTAGTCATTTCAAGCATTGACATTTCAAAGTCCAAAGCTCAAAGCCCTGTGTGCCATAACCCAATTAGTTCCTCCAAATGCCTGAATTATCATAAACTGATGAATATATACATATACTCTTCATGCAGTTTCTATCAATGAATTAGTGAACAGTGGTAGAAGCAATATTGCCATTCTCTTCATGCTTAGAAGTTTCTATGGCTGTACCATTTGGACCAGTCATTAACATGATTTCGCATTTCCTCACATGAATTGTTCAGGGAAAGCTCAGGAATGGTCAGAAAGTTGCCATCAAGGTGCTCTCCTCCGAGTCAAGGCAAGGAACAAGGGAGTTCTTAAATGAGCTGAGTGTCATATCCAACATAAACCATCACAATCTTGTGAAATTGCATGGCTGCTGCGTCGACGGAGATCAGAAAATGCTGGTCTACAATTACCTGGAGAACAACAGTCTTGCACAGTCCCTCTTTGGTAAAGAACAAAAAAAAAAATCAGTTTCCACTAGATTCTCAAATCATGGTGAATTTGTGATACGTTTTGTTCTCAGAACTCTGAATCTCTGAAGCATCATGATCATGTCCTTCAGGCAATTCCCATAGTAGTATCCAATTAGACTGGAAAACAAGAGTGAAAATATGCATCGGCGTCGCGAGTGGGCTCAAGTATCTTCATGAAGAAGTCCGGCCGGTCATCGTCCACCGTGATATCAAGGCAAGCAACATTCTTCTTGACAAGGATCTGAGCCCCAAGATATCAGATTTTGGGCTGGCAAAGCTTTTCCCGGGCAACATGACGCATATCAGCACCAGGGTTGCAGGAACACTGTAAGCAGAGGCATTTTCTTGTTGCTCTTCAGCTTTGATCTTTCATGCATATTGTTGTGTATGAATAATTTGGCATTTCATTCTTCTCCTTCTAGAGGATATCTTGCACCGGAGTATGCGATCCGAGGGCAGCTGACAAAGAAGGCCGACGTCTACAGCTTTGGAGTTCTACTTCTGGAGATTGTCAGTGGAAGATGCCACACTGACCCCAGATTGCCTCTTCAAGATCAGTTCCTACTCGAAAGGGTAAAGAACAATGCCGACAATAGCATATAACTTTTCTAAATCTGCATTATTATTATTGCATATGACTTCTCCCAGACTACTGTCTGATTCTTTAGCTATTTCAGACAACAAATTGGAGCAAGAACCATTTTTTTATGTATAAGTCCAGTAAACACCTATGATAGATTCCGTATGTTCCCTGTATGACAAACCACTAGGCACATACCTGTTCTGGTCACAATGACTGGTCAATTCAGATAATATGGTTGATATGCTTGTGAGACTGGGAGCTTTGCAATGATATGCACAAGGAAGTTTCCTCTCTTATTAAAGTAAACAATTCATAGAACTGAATCAGCTCCCTTTGACGGGTCTTCGTGTTCTTGTATGGGCCACCGCTCTGAATTATGTCAGAAATGGTCTTCAATACCACATGCATTTGCTGGCTTTGTGGTTCTTGATTATTATTATTATTATTATTATTATTATTATTATTATTATTATTATTATTATTATTATTATTATTATTATTATTATTAGAGAAGATTATTTTTTCACCCGGCCTCTACATCCAATCGAATATATGCAGCCATTTAAATTGGGAACTTAGCTTCGTAAACAACTCAATCTGAAATCCGCTCCTATGGAGATTTGAACTCAGAACCTTAGGGTGCTACTCAGGTCACTGCAACCACTAGGCTTTCTAATTCTGAAGTCACATCCATTGGTGTTTCCGTGTTGGTCCAATTATTGTATGGATTGCTTTGAGATGAATTGATTCTTAAAAGAATTGAATAATTAGCTCAGCAATACTTGAAGCACCACTTTCATGGCATGGATATCTACTCTTAGAACTGGTCCAAAGCATCTGAAATCATAAACTCATGCTTTTTTTGACAGGCTTGGGCGCTCTACGAGTCCGGTGATCTCAAAAGCCTAGTTGACGGCACCTTGAAAGGCGTCTTCGACACCGAGGAAGCGCAACGGTTACTGAAAATAGGTCTCCTGTGCACTCAAGATACTCCGAAGATCAGGCCCTCCATGTCGACGATCGTCAAGATGCTCAAGGGCGAGTGCGCAATTGGCGATAAGATCATGAGGCCAGGCCTGATCACAGATGTCATGGACCTGAAAATCAGAACAGTTGAGCCGGTTCAGTTCAGTGCCTCTCCACCCAAATCTCCTTCAGACAGCAACTCCCAGGTGTCCATGCTTGCAGTAGCTGGTAGCACTGTGGTAGAAGAGAGCCCCTGATGGAAGGTTGGATATCTGAAGGAAAAGATGATTTCAGGTTAGAAAGATATAAAAGAAGAATGAAAAGATGCCTGAAAAGCAATGGTTGTAAATTGAAAGGGAGATGGAAAGAGCCAAAGAGGATCTTATACATTTTTTTTTGTTTGTGTAGTTTTGCTAGGTAGATACTATTGTAGGAATGTTGTTTGTATACATAGCATCTGAGTTTTATTATCACCAGCTATACAAACCCTTGGTGTTTATACTAGTCCTTGAGGTTTACAAAATTTAGGCCCTACTTGAAACACGATAATTTTGCAATGATTTCATATAAACAATTCAATTATACAGAAAACAAGAAAAAGAATTCTACGACTCAGATCAATGAAGCCAACGTTGCAAATTCAGAGGTTTCTCATCAGGTTCAGAAGTTCATGATGCCATCTGAGTTACATGACCTAAATCTACTACTCTCTAATCTTCAGCAGTTAGGCCATACCAAACAAATTAATACTATCTTGCTACTTCTGAAAGGAAATCAAATTCCACATATATTGATAAAGCAGCAAAATTCAGCAATCAGTAGCAAGTAGCAAAAGTGCAAAAGAGTACAATGAGCAGCAGCTCCATAGCAATAAGCCCACACTCCATCCCATCAGGCCTACAAAACAAACAAAATTCGGCCAAATGCCTCAACACCTTACAAATTACTACCTCCATATTTTAATGTATGACGCCGTTAATTTTTTTGTCCAACGTTTGACCGTTCGTCTTATTCAAAAAATTTATGTAATTATCATTTATTTTATTGTGACTTGATTCATCATCAAATGTTCTTTAAGCATGACATAAACATTTTCATATTTTCACAAAAAAATTGAATAAAACGAATGGTCAAACGTTGCTAAAAAAGTCAACGGCGTCATGCATTAAAATACGGAGGGAGTACATCAGGACACAAGCCTCAAATGCCTGAAAAGACAACAAGTCTCTCCGCACAAAATCATGGGAACTGAGAAGGTTCCATAAATCCACAGAACTAAAACTTTATAAAACCATCACAATTTCAGTTACATATATAATATCATTTTTTTTGTGGGGAACATATACAATATCATAAGATGATATGAAATCACACCTCTCACATCCACAACAAATTGACTTACATTTTCACTCATGCCTATAGCATGCTATACATGTTATCTACTTCCTCCGTTTCATATTATAAGATTTTTTAGCATTACCCACATTCATATATATGTTAATGAATCTAAACATATATGTGTAGATTCATTAACATCCATATAAATGTGGGCAATGCTAGAAAGTCTTATAATATAAAACGGAGGAAGTACATATGATCTATAAAGAAGCAACATTCATCAAGCCTTCCGGTTCATTTCCATCAACGTGTAGTGTAAGAGACACAGCACTCCATCTCTCAATTCCTTCTTGAAGTTGTGCTTAGAGTAGGTGCTTCACAGAATCAATGCAAATACTCACGGTGCCAAACTCATACACTGGCATACCATTGTAGAATTTACCAACTCTAGGCATAAACAGTAAGCCTTGTGCCATTGCATATGCCTGGATAGACTCCTTAAAGCTCAAATCCTCGCCATGGCTGCGCTCATTGGCAAGAAATTCTGGTGGAAAAAGGCCCTTCAAGCCCTTGTACCAGTTCATGATCGATCTCATTGAAGTCAGGACTTGGTGAACACAGCCTGTACAGGGCCTGCTGCCACTTGCTGAAGAAATCTACTTCCAACATATGGACCATATGGTGTACAGGGATCACAGAAGCCCAGATCATTACCCAGTTGAACTGGTCGAAATTTTTACGTGAACTCAAAATTTAAACAGAAAACCTAGACAACGGTATCCCGTTGGAACGGGATATCCTTCTATGAGACAATACCTGATACCCGAAATCTGTTATGGTACCAGCTGCATGGTACCCGATACCTGTGATATCTGTTACCCGATACCTATGATACTTAGGACCTGATAGCTGTGATACTCGTGCAAGAGAATAGTTAATATGTCTATCCCATTTTGTAGCAGCCCTCAAATTTAAAATCCAGAATTAGCTTCAGCAAACATTGTTTGGGGCGCTGGCATGGGCCTCCATTGGGCCCAAACCGTGTGCGAGAATTCGGCCCAACCTCTATCCAACCCCCCCCCCCCCCCCCTTCGTCATGCCGGCCCATTAGGACACGCTCAGTAATAATAATAATACTTTTATTACCACCATTTTTTCTCCTCCTCGTCGTCCTCCTCCTCCTCGTCCTCGTCGTCGTCATCTCCAACGCGAGCTCGACGAAGCCAAGGAGAGGAGGAGAGAGAGAGAGGGAGAGAGGGAGGAGTGAGACCGACGCGAAGGCCTCCGCCCCCCCGAATCCGGCCACCGCCATTCCGCTAGATCGTTGGCGCCTCAGCTTCCCTTCCTCCCGCGGTTTCTTTTGTTGGAGGGATTTCTCGAGGTAAGCAAACAGCAACCCATCGTGGAATGATGATGATGATGATGAATTGAGATTGTTTGGGCGAGCCCGGTTGGATTGGGTCTGGGCGATTCGTTGGGAGATCTCGGATGCTCGTTGATTTTAGATTTTTGGGGGGGGGGGGGGGGGGAATCGATCGATGCGGGATTTGGACGGTCAGCTTGCCCAAAAATTGGGGGGCCTTTCTTGGCGATTCCAAGATTTTAACCTAGCATTTCGTGGAATTGGTCGTTTGGTTGGGGTTGTAGGATTAGGGATTTCGGATTTGATTGTGCTGTGATCCGCTATATGCTGTGCTGATTGCTCTGGCGGGATTTTTTTTTTGGCAGGCATGCAGAGCCAGATCGTGTGCCATGGGTGCAGGAACATTCTGCTCTACCCGAGAGGGGCACCGAGCGTTTGCTGCGCGGTGTGCCATGCCGTGTCCAGCACAGCACCGTCTCCAGGTAATGGCACATCTAAAGCTTTTGTTAGTTTCGTTTGTGCAATCGACCATCAAGGTTGCAAACACTGGCCAGAATTTGCCGGGTCGGCCGAAGGATTAGGCCAACATGATTTTATTAGGATTGGAGGATTTACAGGTACAGATTGCGATTCCATCTCGACGGTATGCTGTCGAAAAAATCGACGTTTCATCCAAGGGATCAGAATTTCGAGGGTTGATATTAGATATCTGTATTGCAATGTTGATGCTTGGGTGACGGTACTCTTTGATGTATGCGATGATCAATCCAAAAAAACTGTTTCTTTTGAACGCTGCTAGAACTCCAATGTTGCAAGTCCAGTTAGACAAAGGTCAAGATAAGATAGTGAAAGAGAGGTAACATGGAAATATAAAGGGCATTCCACGGCTAACTTATCCTTATAGAAAACCCAGTGTACTCATTGTATTAGCTTAAATATCATATACTAGCACATGCTGCTCAGTTTCTAAGCTTACATCCCTAGTTCTACTGCCTGATTCCCGCAGACTGCAGCATTTGGTTCTTATTCCTTTAAATGGTGTTGCTGTTTTTTTCTACTAGATTGTAATTATCTACCAAATTATGTTCTGTTCCATAGAGTGTCTCCTGCATAAGATCTTCTTTCGCAGGCTGTTGTGTGATGTATTTTTTTCATCAAACACTGAGCCCCTTGTGGGCCAAAAAGAAACGGCTTGATTTTTGAGAAATAATAAAGAATTGGTTTGTCGTGAAGCCTAGCAGCGCATCCTAATGTCCAAGTCCAACAGTCACCTAGGAGGAGCTACAAATGCCATATGTAGAGGATTCCTGAAGCACTGAATGGGGTAGCTCACGTAATTAGAATCTAAACCTCGGGTTATCGTTTTACCATCGCTCTCATTGCTTCATATCACTGTGAACTTTGTAGTTGCTTCAAGTTGTCATGCTCATGAAAGTTGGGTAAATTTCATGTGCAGGAATGGATATAGCTCATCTTATATGTGGTGGATGCCGAACTTTATTGATGTATACTCGCAATGCGACATCTGTTAGATGTTCGTGCTGCGATACAGTCAATCTTGTCAGACCAGGTACTTGCATGTTTGTGGAATTGGCAGAATTTTTATTCTGCTTATCCTTAAAAGCATCTGCATTTACCTACTGGGCATGCTAATGTATTGCAGTGTACTAGGTATGTTATATAAAGCCAGTATAGGTTGCTCAGGCACATAAATCTATAATTAATTGTGTTAAGTGTAAACCAACCAAAATTGGTGATGTTATGTATGTGAAAATCAATATAGCCCTCTTATTTACAGTTAGGTTAGTATAAATTTGGTGTATTGCAACTTTACATAAGCTGGTTTCACTGAAAGCTAGACTACATCAGTTCTTACATTGTTTCTGGGCTGTTGACTTCTCATCTGGCAAATATGTATCATTGACTACTTGATCAGTGAGTTGAGGTCAGTTTATTTCAAAGGCAATACTCAAAATTGTGTGGAGAGCACCTGTGTTGCTGAAGTCTTTCTTTTCTGATTCTTAAATAATGCTCAGTTTTTCTTTTCTGTGGATGAGTTTGTTATCTCTTATCGAGACAAGGACTCAACATGTGTTGCTGGTCCCGATTACGTGTGTGCCATTTCTAGTTTCATTTATATGATTGAAATGGAGCAAATATTTTCTGAAGTATAAAATCATGGAGTTTAAAGACAATAAGCTGATAATAAACCTTCACTAGGTTCTTGTCTTCCCTGTATCTCTGTTTCATGCATCCAAGTTTCCTCCCATATACTGTACATCATTAATCATCATGATGTCTGACATGTCTCTCAACTTAATGGATTCTGTTTGATTGTGAATTATGATGCAGTGAGTAGTATAGCTCACTTGAACTGTGGCCAGTGCCAGACAGTGTTGATGTATCCATACGGAGCACCTTCTGTCAAGTGTGCTATCTGCAATTTTATTACAAATACTGGGGTAAGGCTGTTTCTTTTTACTGGTTATCTTTGCTGGAAATGCTATAAGTGCTCATCTACGCTTATTGACTTCAAACTATTTCTTATACTCAGATGAATACAATGAGACATTTGCCACCAAATGGAACTTCATATACTGCCCCATCAACCTCTGCTGTATGTCCAGTTGTTCATACCTTGAGTTCTCTTGGGCATTCATATTGGTGATTTCCATCTATTAATCACTTCTTTTTTCCCTTGTCGTTGGCAGCCAACCACTCAATCACAGAATGTTACTGTTGTTGTTGAAAATCCTATGACGGTAGATGCAAAGGGAAAGTTGGTAAGCCACCTCCTTATTGCTATCTCCTGTCAACCTTGCCTGCGTGCATATTTCTAATCCCCAGTTAAGTCATTACATTCTTACTGATTTACTCCATGTTTTCTACGCAGGTGAGCAACGTTGTAGTTGGGGTTACAACTGGTGGTAAAAAGTAACATATTGGCACACAGTGCACCTTGTTTTATGTTCCATATATGGAGTTGGAAATACTTTGTATTATACACAAATGTTTGTGATCAATTGCTGGAAGGAACCCTGAAGAGCATAGGGGCACTCGCAATGTGCACAATTACAATCAAGCTAAAAAAACAAACTGCAGGTGTGAATACTGAGATACTGTAGTTTGTTACCCCTGATTCTTTTGTATGTAATATGAGAGCTCTGTTGGATTTTATTGTGTGATCAAATCATCTCCAGATGGCACTAGCTGCCTTCTCAATGAATAATAACAGATTGCGTTCAACATAGCGCATGTTTTGTATACAACCTGAATGAGCTGATTTTGTAAAATGCATGGTTTTACTACTATTTCTGGAACTAGACTGAGCATGCCATCTCATCGTTCATGTGTTAAAATTTATTTGCATATTGTTTCTGTAAGCATATGGACTGTTGAATTGTGCTCATAGTGGCTGTACTCCAGTTATTTGCACGCTGTACATGGTACAGCTAGGTGCAGTTAATAAGAACGCTATGTCAAGTGTAATGATTTGAAGGGGAGAACTGACCAGGTACAACAATTTATTTTGGAAGGCACAAGGTACAACAATTTATGGCATTTATGGTATTTCTAGCTTTTTTAGCAGATATTAAGGTCGAGGAAAAAAAATACTTTGGTGTCCCTTATTAAATGAGAGATTTATGGGCAAATTACACGCATGAATTGCTTAAATTTGTGGACAGAAAGTAGTATAACTAGACGATACCCCGCGTGTTGCTGCAGGATTGCAAATGATTCATTGACAAAAAAAATTTAAAGATAATTCATATTTGTAACTTGAGAACTATATCAGTTAGATATCATATATAGCATACATCTGGATATTGCATTCGTGTGATGCATAATACAGAAAATATGGACAAAATAAAATGCGACGCATAAACCATCCAATTTAACTGGAGAACAAAACTTAAATCATAGCGAAAAAGAGTGAAATTGTACAGTTACAGAGAATTAGAAAATAAAAATATTAGGTGTGTGAGCATCACTTGATTGAATACTCCTATAAGAGGACATCTATTTTGAGACATGGGAGCAACAAATAAACATAGGCAAGAGAAAAAAAATCAATAGACTAACAGAACCACATGCTTGTTTTGTTGCTATGCAAAACGAATGCAAAGGTGCAACAGTTCTGCTCGTCACGTACTACTAAAATCTAAACTATGACGTACTTTTTAGTGGTGCACAGTATAGCATGTAAGGCATACTGAATTAAAAAAATAATTAAATACAATCTTTTTTTTGACTGGAATTAAATACAATCTTTAGGCTTACAACACAATTAGTTTGCTTGATTCTTAAATAAGGAATATTTGCAAGAAATTATAGGATCAATAACAAAGATTATGTGATTGACCGCACCTAAGTTAGCTGCTAGATTTGTTCAAGTGTTTATTCACCAGCAAGAAGCATGTTGCGATATCAATATTTTAATTATTGATTCCTCTTTCCCCTGCATATTCTAGTAGTAGGAAAACAAAATAAAATATTAGATAAAAATTATGTCCATAACTAAAAATCAAAATATCCCGTAGTGTACACTTCATTGTAGGAAAGAACATACCAAGAAAAAGACCAGGTCAGTAATATGAAGTTCTGAACTTATTATTGATCCTAAAGACTGAACTGAAAGAAATAAAAAAGAACTCTGTATCGGAGTATAAATTAGACAGTAGCAACTACACGAATTATTGTGGTGCGAATAAAAAAGGAAATACCAATATGAATTGCCAATGTTGGTGGTATGTGCAGCGCGCAAGACAATTAACTAAAGGATTTTTTTTAATTGTATTGAGTAATAAATCTGACAATCGAGTAAATCTGAGCAATTAGTTCTTTGTAAAAAAAAAATACTGAACCAACCATCCATCTATTTCATTGTAATGACTTTTTGTTGGTGATATATACATATACATATAAAACTGCAAACTCAATCAGCCCACCATTGACTGTTGGTGACCTTCTAAAATCAAAGGTCATGGTCACATGAGACAAAGTGATTCAAAGATGATAGTGTGCAGGTATAAGTTAAAATTTAACTATTTCAATACGATTAAGAAACCACCATAAAAGTGAACAAATTTGAGGTGATAATTACCAGTTCTCACGGATTATAAAAAAACACCAGTCCACCTTGAATTCGTTCTTAACATGAAAAAACCACCATTTGATGACAACAACAGGGTTGAAGGATATAGAAAGATCCATGCTTATTATATGATCCTCATTCAGCCATTCCTTTTAACATATGACAGGGGCATCTGAAAATATTTCCAACCAACGCCGGCCATACCATAAAATTGAACCATCACATGATATATATGCTACAAACCTACAAGGCAATTACGGAAACGGTAACAAAACTGAAACAAACAAACTATCAAATCGAATTGTGTAAACAAAGCAACGTAAGAGAGAGAGAGAGAGAGAGAGAGAGAAGGGGGGGGCACCTGCAAAGGACATGGTTGGTGCTGCAAAAGAGGAGAGGGAAGGGTTGAGGGCACATGCACGACTTAACGGCTTGTTTGGCAACTTGAGGGAATGAGATTGGGAGTTTACATGAGGGAATTGATGATGAGATTAAGATGGGAATTTGTTTTTTCATCCCAGTCTCTTGTTTGGTAGAGGTGGTGGAAATTGATAGGGAGTTTAGTTGGACATTAGGTCATTAATGAAAACGGATGGCTGAGATTTGTTTAGGCGAAGTAAAGGAGGAATTATCTTCAAATTACCACCCCTTACATAGGTATTGAAAAGAATAGAGTTCATTCCTCAATTCCCCATCCCCAACCCACCAAAATTTTCATATCTCCTAACCAAACAAAGCAATTAATAGCTCTCAATCCCTCTTAAAAACTCCCCTCAACCATAAAAGAAATCCAAAGTTTGGCCTCTCACCTTGACCATCAGTTACAGGAATTAAAAGGCGGATTATTACAGTGAAATAGGTGGCTATTACTCACCAGGGAGGTGAAGGGTGAATTCGTTTTGCGACAGCCCGAGGAGACGAACAAACCAAGGGCGATGGGAGAGAAAGAGCCACAGCCTATGGGAGTGGGGCGCCTGCTCGGGGAGCTCTCTGCCTCCCTGGCGTACTGCTGCCCAGGTAAGGGAACCGACGCGAGGGGAGGGAGGGAGTGAGCTGAGCGGCAGCACCGCTGCACGCGCCCTGGCTGTCGCTGCGTGCAATGCGGGAGGAGGGGAAGGGGAACCAGGCGGCGCCGCATCTGCGTGGGTGGAAGGAGAACGAACAGTTTGGGAAGGCAACAGGTTGGGTTATTGGGCTTACCTCGTCAAATGGGCCTTTCATGTGTAATACTTGGGCTGTTCTCACCAGGAAAACTTATGCATCGATATCATACCATTGAGATTTCATCCAACGGCTGCTTTCTTTTTAGACGACGTGGATCAACCACAGCGCAGAGAATTGGTAATAACTGCAGTTAGTGGGGATTACTTGTATATAGGTATATAGGATAGGATGAGCCTGAAGGAGGCAAATGGAGGTACTTATGTGTCCAAAATCATACGAAAATCAATATAACTCAAAAATAAAATAAAATTATATAAGATATCATGAAATTGTGTTGAATACAAAGTGTTCATTAGATACATAAAAACATCATGTATTGAAAAGTAAAATCTCGGTAGAACAATGATCTTATAAGAAATTATTGAAATCCCATCAAACCTCAGCAATCCGTGTCTGTTGTGCTAATTATTTTAAGAGTAAATTGCATTGGCGGTCCTTGAACTTATAGGGTTGTGTCATATAAGTCCCTAAACTCTCAAAATGCATATCCAGTTCCCAGAACTTGTCAAAGTGTATCATCTAGGTCCCAAATTGACACATCCCCTCTAGATTCCTACGTGACGCTGACATGGCAATGCCATATGGATGTGACGTGTCCTTTTCTTTTTTTCTTTTCTTTTTTATTTTCTTCTCATTCTTCTTTTTTCCTTTTTTTCTACACGGGTCATACAGAAAGGAGAAGAAAGGGGAAAAAGAGAAGAAAAAAAGAAAAAGGAAAAATTTAATGGGTCCCATTTGTCAGTCAAAATAATGTCATGTCATGTATGTGTGGCATGCCACATCAACGCCAAGTAGGATCCTGAAGAGGTTGAGGCGATTTGGGGCCTAGATGACACACTGTGACAAGTTCTGGGACTTGGATATGTATTTTGAGAGTTTAGGGACCTAGATGGCATATCCCTACAAGTTTAAGGATCGCCCGTACACTTTACTCTTATTTTAAGATCAGATTTTGGTAAAGTAAAGTAAGATATCCATTTTTTTTAAAAAAAACAAGTACATGAAAAGCAGCCCTTCCAGCCATATTTCCTCCATTTCAAAATAAACCAACCTTAAATAAAATAAGATATTACTGTCCAGATTCATCATTGCAATAATTAGTTTATTTTAGGATAAACCTCCTCTTCTCTCTTCCAGCCTGCTTGCAGTTGGCCCAATCTGCCTCTTCACCTTCTCTTCTTTCTCTTCTGTGCAGCCCAACCCACTCTTCCCTTTTTCTAATTAGGATGCCACATCAGTGAAATCAGCTGTCAATATTATCTTGAACGGTTTTGGTAAGATGACAGGTGAACATTTCTGGTATTGCAGTTTAAGATATTCATAAAACTCGACGTAAAGTTGAGGGACGACAAGTGGACTTATTCCCTTTCATTTTCAGTCCGGCCCATCTTGTCTCGTCCGTTTTTCACCAGCCGGCCTAAGGGCCTGTTTAGGGGAGCTTAAAATTCTAAGAAGCAACGGGTTGGTAGCCAGCTTCTGAGAATCTGAAAAAGCTGGGTCTCCCCCGCTTTTGGCTTCTAGTTCATTTTCTGGATTTTACAACTACAACTTCTCATAATCTGGATCAAAATTTGAACTGCTTGGGGGAGCTTCTGATTCTGGGAGAACCTGCAATAGCTAGAAGCTCCCCCAAATAGGTCCTAAGACTCGGGCCGGCCAGCTCCTGGCCATCATTCGGCCACGCTCAAATTTGCTATATGTTTGTAATTTGACAGATGTAATTACAGTGCAATCGTAGGTAATTACGCTGTAACTACAATGTAACTTATGTATAACTTTCAAAAATCTCTCCGTGACATATTATTTTGGTGAAATGGAGGTCGTGGGAACAAATCCTCTCACATGTGTGCATGCTGACTTTCTTTTTCTTCCTCAACTGCATAAATCTTGAAATAGGTCTAACGGTTCAAAATTATGTGAAAGTTACATGCAAGTTACAGTATAACTACACTACGATTGTACTGTAATTATATATGTCAAATTTTTAGGAAAAAAATTATCGACAAATGTATAGGTGATTCCACCACGTTTTGTACACCTTTGGATTCTGCTAACTGCGTGGTTTTTGCTGCTTTGAAATTTACATCTTCAATGTATATTGAAATTTACATCTTCATGCATGATGCTTGCAAGTGTATATACTCCTATAGACCTGTGCTACGATCATTAGTTGTAGTTGTTATCACACTGGCCATGTACATGGATACATAGTACAGTTTGTTGCAATTAATGACAACTTTATGTAAAGTGCTTATGATTTAATGGAGATAATTGACAAGGTACAATTTATGGCATTTTCCTTTTCTCCTTAAAGTAAAAAAAACAAATTTTCAAAATTGAAAGAGAGAAAAATCTAGTCTTTGCAAAGTTGAAATACAACGAGGAAAAAAAATCTAGTGAAAGACAAAGAGAAAAAAAAATTGGGGTGAGAGAGGCTCGAACTCTCGACCTCAGGATCACTCGCTTTAGCTATGAGACCTACGCGCTAGCCAACTGCGCCACCACCCCATCGATGTCCAATGGTATAATTGTACATATTTAACAAAATATTTTACTTAAGAAATCTAAATCAGATCAGTCCTTGTTAGTTGCAACTAACCATGATTTGGTGCCCTTTTGACTCTGAAGACGACAATGATTTTCCTTCTCACTCGTCATCCCTTGTCTCATACGTTTTTGCTCACCTCCTGTAGCCAGAGATATGTAAACCTGAAGATTTCCTGAAAAATTTTCTTCCTGGAGCATCCAAAGAATCTGTCCTTTCTTCTTTCACACTTCACTTTCTGCTCATGTCGCAGGGACCCAAAAAGGCTCCAAAATACTGCGTACTTTCTTGACTAATCATCTATTGTGTGCACACTTTTCGTAGACATAAGTAGCCCAAAATTAACGGTTTGCTGGTTATCAGGGTTTGTGCAAACTTGCACAATTTGTTTAAACCCAGGATTTGGATCATGGACACCATCACCATTATATAATCTGCCCAAAATTTCAGCTCCAATCATCCAAAATCTTCCACATATACAGTCTCTGGATCAATTGATGGATCTTGAGAAGGGCAAGAAGCCATCAGAACAGGCTGCAGCCTGCAGGATTATGCAGGTCAAGGACAAGCTCATCACCCTGCAGCCTGTGGTGAGAGCTTGTGTGTTCTTGGCAACAGCAGTGGCAGCTGTGATCATGGGGCTGAACAAGCAATCCTACACAACAGTTGTTGCAATTGTGGGCACCAGGCCAGTCACACAGACCTTCACTGCAAAGTTCAAAGACACTCCTGCATTTGTGTAAGTAAGCATTCAATATTGTAGTTTTTCAGATGAATTTTGATGTTGACTGAATTGTTGAGGTTAATGATTTGTTCTTGCTTGTGCAGGTTCTTTGTCATTGCCAATGCTATTGCCAGTGGTTATAACCTGATGGTGCTGGTGACGAGGCGCATTCTGCAACGAAGAGCGCAGAGTTTGTCTGTTCATCTTCTTGATATGGTATCTGTTTCTTGTCTCAAGTGTCGGTGTTTGCTTGTTGCTTCTCCAAAATGTTAAGTTATTAGGGAGAAGCAACATATGAAGTGTCCTTTTCACTGGTAGTTTTTCATTGCGTGAGATTTCCCTCTTGGGATAGATACATTTCATTGGTTAATTGTCACTATGAAATTTAGAACTGTTTCTGATAATAGGACACATCAGTGATCAAATTATACCGAGAGAAGCAATCTAGTCCAAGTACATGATTGTTAGTTCATGTAAAATACTTAGTAATCATGCTGCATAATCCAGCCAAATCTGATCAGAGAACTGAACTGAAGACATCAACTAAAAGACAACTTGAGCATAATCAAGAATCTTAGCAATTGCAACTATCAAGAACCAGTTGCTAGAGTGACTTCTGGTGCTCAACATATATGGGCTTGCACTGTAGCAAATATGACAAATATCAGACCATTGTCAGCTGACATGAGCTCATGATTCTTTTTCCCCTCTGTTCTCATTGGCCCAGGTGATCCTGACTTTGTTGGCCACCGGCTCTGCCACAGCGGCGTCGATGGCTCAGCTAGGGAAGAATGGTAACTTGCACGCACGCTGGAACCCGATATGCGACAAATTTGGTTCTTTCTGCAACCATGGAGGAATAGCACTCGTGTCATCGTTCATCGGTGTCGCGCTCATGCTGGCCCTGAATCTACTGTCAGCAGCAGCCAACTCACCCCGCTCTAATGTGACCGGCCAATGAGTTGTCCATATCTCTCAGGACAGCTCATTCATGACAAAATTAACAATGCACTGTTTCTGTCTTTGGATTGTACTCAGGTTAGGGCAGAAGAACTGTAAGTCTATTATCTGCTCCATGTGGGAGCTGGATCACAACCTTCAGTGAGCCAGTGTGCTAAATTTGGCATGCAACTGTTCCATCTTGCTTGGCCTGAAATGAGCAGGCCAAGAGTACAAACACATAAACTCCAATTGGTTATGGGGCTTTAGCTAGATCAAGTTGTTACACTATTAAATTCTACTACTTTGTGGGTGTAAATTTTATCTTGTACTAATAGTCCTGCCAATTTGTCCTCTTTTTTTTTTTTTTTGCTTAGGTGGATGCAACTTTTCATTATTTAACAGGCTTGTCTGGTGAACCATGGGCTTTCCAGACAATTAGTACCTGTTGTACTGCATTGAGCTTTGTTTTATTGTCTGAGCAGTGAAGTTGTTTGGAGTTGCTTAGATGATCCATCCATCACCAGGCCTTACTGCACTTAATGAGAAAAACTTTTTTTAAGCTGTTCAAGTTGATGTAGATTCATCAGAGAAGGAACACATGCATGCATGAAGGTGCTCCTATGTAGGAGGTTGGCCATGTGTTCCTATCAGGAATCTCCACAAAAAAAATTAATTAGCATGCAACTGATCAGGGAGTTAAGACATGACTATTAGTTTAACACATCAGTCTTACTTACAATCTCTGTTATCTATCATATCCTAGAAATGTTCACAGGTTGGACTGAAAAAAAGAAAGAAATGCAACAACATGCATCTAAGCAAATCTATAGCACAATAATTTACAGTTAGAATAACAAATTGTGTGCAATGTTGTAAGCATGAGATCACAGAGGACTGGAACATGTCAGCATCAGGCAGCTGCTGCCCTGATGAAAGTACAGGATGATCTTTCTTCTGTTCTTCAACCTCCACATTATTTCAAGATGACTAAGAGAGGGTGTTCAAGACTTGTAGCTATACGCATACGGGTACTAGTATTGATGACATGTGGTACAGAGGAAAGTAGATCCAGGCTTCTTTCTGAAAGGTGAAGTGAATTAGAAACGTGATCACTCATGCAGCTGGCCTGCATTTTCAAGAACAGTAAGATGAACAGCCAGGGCCTTTCAGCTTACTGTTCATCAATCTGTACTGTATATATGTTTGTCGTTGTATATACAGCTGAAAGAGATATGATAAAACAGGATTTGCTTTTGGACGAGACTGTCATATGAGCTTTTTCTGAATAAATGTTATGATCATTTGTAGTAGCAGCTAGCAACATCCACTTTATTTTCTCATTTTTCTTTTTCTTTTCTAAAAAAGCTGTACTGTTGGTACTTTTTTGAAAATTGTTCAGTGCTGCTACTATACATGTAAACTAATTTCTAGAATCAGTCAATGCCTATTTGTGTTCTCAAGAGAGAGAAGAAAATGTGAGCTATGATTTGAATCCTCTGTTCTTGTTTGGATTGCATGACATGTCACAACTCACAATTATTTTCGAATGATACACAGATGCCGCACGAACATTTGTAAATACTACTCCATATAGATATGCACAAATTGATAGACAGAAAATCATCGATCCGAAAATTTTTCGACAACGCAAACCTCTACTTCTGATTTCTGAGTATACACACTTTAGCAATCATTACATAGTTTTAGTCCTGAATTTTCCTATGCCTTACAGAAAAACTATGGCATGCTCTATTAATACTCACACATAAATATTGTACCATCACACAAATAAGTATGTATACCATATCAAATCATCAATTCATCATACACACTGAAGATCAACTACTAGCTAGCTAGCTATTCTTATATTGTCTGAATAATATTTTTCCCTAGAAGTGATTCATCCAAGAAGAGCTGACAGCAGCAGCCATTTCAGATGGAGGAGGCAGGCCTGGCAACACCTCACCCCCAATGGAGTTGAGCTGGCTCAGCACTGCCTTGAGCATCTTCTTGTCACAGCTCTGGGTGTCCAAGAAGCTGCCAAATTCAGGCAGGCCATGATCCAGGTAGCTCATGCCATTGTTGTTGCTACCTGTGACAATTGGCAGGTAGCATTGCTGTGCATTGACAGTAGCACTGTTGCTGTTGTTGTTGTTACTGGCAATGCTGTTGCTGAAGCTGGAGAAGCAGGGCACTTGCTCAAGTGCGGCGACGGCGGCGATGGCGGAGGAGGAGGAGGTGTTCATGGAGGCCTGGAGCTGAGCTAGGGTGGTGTCCATGAGGGGTGGCAATGGTGGTGAGGAGGTTGGTGTGGATGTGTCATGGACAATGGTGGTGGTGGTGGTGGTGAGGCTTCTTGACTTGGAGGTTGCACCCCCTCCTGATTTCCTCTTGCAGATGACTCTGCACAGGACCCAGTCTTCCTGCTGAAAACAACACATTGGTGGATGGACAAGAAAAGCATTTGATCAGTTCATGACAGGTGTAATTTTGGTAGATATGAAAAAACAATTTTGTTGATTAGTGTTTACTGTACTTGCTCTGATTCCATCACTTATTCACTTGGCCTATTGATGAAGACAAATACATTAATTACAACCCTTTTTCACTTGGCCTACTGATGAACCATGGATTTTTTTAATCCATTTAAACTATTAACACTTTTTTGCTATGTGTTGGTCAAAAATGATCAATGATGAAAACATGGCCTATAGATATGAAAACAATCTTATTGATATTGTTACTGTAGTAGCTCTGGTTCCATCACTTGACCTATTGATGAAGACAAATTAATTTGGCTACTGATGAACAACCATGCATGTTTCTACCCATTTAAATTTTTACACCTTTTTTGCTATTTTTTAGTCAATGATGAAGCATGTGCATATTTGCAGCTTGATAGGGATTCAATTGTAATAATTTGTTTGCAGGGATCACTGCTTTGAATCTACTATATTATTCTAGAAAACCGTTTGGTCTTATATTTATGCCCTTTTTTTAAAAAAAAGACTAAAATTAGTTATTACAAGATTAATGTGAGCAAACTAGTGGACCGGTGCACAAATATAAAATTGTCACGCAAAAACGGTGTGCCCAAGAAAAAAAATAATTAGCAAGTAGCACTCCATAATTAAATGATAAACAGTGTGCCAAAACAAACAAATGAATCAATGAAAAGTGACAACTTGTGAGGATTATTTGGGACGTACAGTATGCCAAAAGTCCTTTTAAGAGAGAGAGAGAGAGAGAGAGAGAGAGAGAGAGGGGTTATGCCCAAAAGTCTTGACAATAACTGTTGTATAAATACAATCACACTGCACTACAAGTTGGTCTCTATGCTAGGAATTAAGCTCACAACTTGTCGTGTACATATGCTTAGCAATTACTACCAAAAAACTTTATTTTAAACTATGCACCTAAAAAAGTACTTTGTTCAGTTGCATAGCTAGAAATAAAGTCTTTTGAAACAAAGATAGTAATAATCATTAGGTTTTCGAAAAGAAATATACCATTTATTAGGGAATAATCATGAGTGAGTTGTGAAACATTTTACAGGACATAGTGAACAATTAATTTCACCATACATACCTTGGAGGAGAAGCTGGAAGCTTGTTGATCATGCACACCCTCCATCCTGTACTCATGCATCACCCACTCTGTCTTCCTTCCCTTGGGTGCCCTCCCCTGGTAGAACACCAGTGTCTTCCTCATCCCCACAAGTGCCCCTCTTCGTGCCACCACCCTGTCCTTCCCCGTGGCCTTCCAGTACCCCGAAACCGTGGCTCGGTTCGTACGCTGCCCCGTCGCGTATTTTCGGTCCCTCAGGCTGAAGAAGTACCACTCCTTTCCGCCCACCGACGCCACCTCTTATCATAAAAAAAACATATAAAATTATAAATACACCAACAATTAATAACCAAAACAATTATCTTTAATTGAAAGATAATAATAAAGTTATCACACATTCCTGTCCACAGCTAAAAAAATTGTACTTTTTCTTGGTGTTATTGTTGGACAGTAGTATGTAGTGGTGCTTGATGTGGTGATCCATGATGAATCCCCTTTTGGTCACAATCACACTGGTTCTTGATAGAAAGGGAGAGATATGCTGAGCTATTGGAGAGTTAATTTTACTTGAAATTTGGATGCATCAACACGTGTTAGGCCCATACAGAGTGTGTGTGCTGAGATCCCATGCGTAAGATGTGATTTGCAGTTTGTTGCGACATTGTTGATGGCAAGCATGCATGCATGCTGGTCGCCATCGGCTTGGTGTGCACTTCACATGGTAGGATTAGACAGTGAGAGGAATTAGTTAGGATAGGATGTTCTCATAATCTTATATTAAATAAGGTAATTAAATTACTACATCACTGTCTAATCAAGAGGTGTCGTGGTGTAGTTGGTTATCACGTCAGTCTAACACACTGAAGGTCTCCGGTTCGAGTCCGGGCGACGCCAATTTTTTCTTTTTATTTCTAATTTTTTATTCAAAAAACTCATTACATTAATTATTTGGTATTCTTTTTTTAAAAGTTTTCACTGCATTAATTCATTGGTAGTTCACAATGATGTTAATTATTTGGCATTATTTTACTGCATTAATCATTTGGGATTTGACATTCATTGGGGTAGTTTACAATGATGTTAATTATCACAAATAATTGCTAAATGTGTTTGCTGCTAGAAAGGTTAGGTTTATGGGACTTGGGATTAATTGGGGTAGTTTGGGGATTTGACATTCATTGGGGTAGTTTACACTGATGTTAATTGTCACAAATTATTAAATGTGTTTGCTGTTAGAAAGGTTAGGTTGATGGGATGATGTGATTTGGGATTAATTGGGGTAGTTTACAAGTGATGTTAATATTGTCACAAATTATTAATTGTTTACTCCTACAAAGGTTAGGTTGATGTGATGCAAAGATTCTTGTAGCTAGCTAGCTAATGTGATTATCTGAATCGAAACACACATAAGGTTAGGTCGATTAATTAATTATTTTACATCTGGTTTTAGCTAATGCAATTAGTACACATGTCATGCCGCATCTCATTAATAAAAATCGATGGAAATTTAATAATTGCAGAACCTATGAAACGTGTGTCTTTTCCAGCTCCCACCCTACAAAAATGATTGTTTAATTTTGGACATCTAAAAAAAAGATTATTTTGGACACAAACTGAAAGTGGATGCATTGAGAGAGAAGGATATCGTCTAGTCTAGAAGACGTTATAATTAAAGTGTGGGCTGCAAATTAAATTAAGTTTGGAATAAAGGGAATATTTCCTTCTTTGGAAATGGAGGAAATGCCAAATTGTATATATAATTGGTGAGAGAATTTCCTCCTTTCCATTATGATGAGATGTCGTAGTCGATCGAGCTAGCTACCATTTTCTCATTTTCTTTTCTTAGCCCTATTACCACATATATCTCTAGATTTGTTTGCAAATTATTTTATTGGATTTGTTATTATTGTTTAATAATAATACTTCAGTATTCGATAATTGATAAAGATCCACCTATTCAAGACAAAGGAGGATAATTTAATTTGTGTCGGTACTGTCATATACAGACAAGCTGCATATATATTTTACATACTGTGTATTTAGATTAAAAACAAGGTAATCTTAATGCTGCTGTAGAGAAATTATTTTCCGAGAATTGAAACTAACAAAGTTAATTAACATTCCCTATCAATTAAATAGTAGAGTAATCAGTGCTTCACTGGAGACCATTTAACTGATGAATGAATTGAACCACATGCGAAACATTGACTTTTGATAACGAAATGGAAGTGATATGAACAGTTTTTTTTTCAATTTTACCGTACATGCAATAAATAAATGGCTTCAAGAGAGCAACGGAATTTATTTAATTTGTACAACTAGAGACATCACAAATATGAAAAACATGACCATGGAAATCGAATTAACTCCACTTTTTATAAGGAGAAAAAAAAACTAAAACTGCAAAAGCTTAGTCTTCACTTAATTTAATGACCTTAATATAGGCAATAGATACATCTATCTCTGTACTTCCATAATTGAAGTACACTCTTGATATGGTCCTCTATCAATTATATATACGCCTACCTGACAATGACGTTGATTTTACGTACACTGCCTCTCTACGCTGTTTCTCTTTTTCTCAAAAATACGCGTAATTAAGATATATCGATCCTCTCAAACAAATCATTAATTCAGCACGAGAAAATGAATTGGAATATCATTAATTTCTCGTTCATCGATTGCATAATATATACTACTAGTTTGCCTAATATTTGTTCAAATTCAATACCGAGGATCTGTCAAATATACATGTAATTGAATTAAAAAAAACAGTATAGAATAGAAGACAAATTAAATAAGAATCACACGTATGTATATAGACGAAATTAATTAGCCTATAATTTTTTTTAGCGTAAGGGCATAATTGTCATTGACAAACAAGAGCACAACATGCATTGGAAGACTTTGGCTGGTTTCTTGGCACTAAAGCAACACAAGTTGCTCCCAGTTCCAACTAGAAATAATGGATCACACAAGATCATCAAAAAAAATATTGGGGAAACTAAAAGTGATAAAAAAACATAAAAAGGCTTGGGGGGAGAAAATTAAGATATGTGAATCAAAGAAAAGGGTCAAGATATATAAAATCAGCAAGACATCGGCTCATCGATCAATCAAGAAGAAATTAACATATACTTACTACATGTACAAGAATTAATATAGAAGAGAGAACTCTAAGAAATTAACATGTGAAGCTAACTGATTATTACCGGGGAGGTCCCATGGCTCGACCTTGTTGAGGTCGACGTCGACCATGGGCGGGCGGCGGCCGGAGAAGCCGACCTTGCCGGCGACCTTGGGCGCCAGGTAGTCGCAGATGAGCTCGTCGTCCCTCGGGTGGAACCTGAACCCCGGCGGCAGCTCCGCCTCCACCATGCTCAAGAAGCTCATCATCGACATCGATCAACCTCCCCCCCTTGATCACCTCCTCTCTCTCTCTCTCTCTCTCTCTCTAGCTAGCTATATGGAGGAAGAAGAAGAACAAGAAGAGAGAGAATTAAGGAAATTGAAGGGTAGTAGCTGCTAGAGAGAGAAACCAAGAAAGGGCTACATATGGAGTATGTGTATGAATAGGGGTGTGTGTGCTTGTGTCATGTGTGTGTGTGTGTTGCAAATTGTGAAGAGGAGAGAGTTGGAGGAGAGGGGTTTATAAGGTGGTTTAGGTAGTGGGTCTACCTCAATCTCCTCTCTTCTCCTTTTCCTACCTTTTTTTTTCTCTCTTTGCTTTATTTTTCCATTTTGCCTTTTCTTTCCACAAATAAAAGAGGAGCCAACTTCCACATCAGCACTACAAGCTCCCACATATGCCATGAGAAAAAGAAAAAAAAGGGAAATTTAAAATAAAGAGAAGAAGAATTAGAAATAGTAGTCCATGCTATCTACTACCAAGGCTGCATAACTGATGGGAGCTCCACTTGTCATTAGCTAAGGTGTGTGTAGCTGGCCAACTCCTTTTTTCAGTCAAATGTTATACTCTCTACTACTAGGAGGACAAAAATTGTTTGTTGCAAAATAAAAACTTCAAGTCAATCTTGTGGGTACAATGAGTAGCCTAGACCTAGGAGCCTAGATAGTTTTTTTTATATACTCTACTAGTTAAAAATATACTTGTACTACAATTGAATAAGCTAGTGAAATATATAATAGCTGGAGTTATATGATAAGCCGTGCTGTACTAGGTTTATGAAACTACTCCCTCCGTCAAAAAAAAAAAAAAAGACAAACCCTGGTTTCCGTGTCCAAAGTTTGACCATCCGTCTTATTAAAAAAATTATGAAAAAATAAAAAGATAAGTCACGCATAAAGTATTAATCATGTTTTATCATCTAACAACAATGAAAATACTAATTATAAAAAAAAATTATATAAGACGGACAGTCAAACGTTGGTACGGAAACCCAGGGTTTGCCTTTTTTTGGGACGGAGGGAGTTTGTAATTTTAATCCTGTACATTAATTAGGACAAGATACGAGCATATCTGGTGCAAACTTATTTGGAGATCCAATCATCCAAACTAAGGGCCTGTTTGGCACAGCTCCAGCTCCAACTCCACCCCTCCTGGAGCTGGAGCTCAGCCAAACAGTTTCAGCTCCACCAAAACTGGGAGTGGAGTTGGGTGGAGCTCTCTCACAAAATGTACTAGAGTTGTGGAGCTGGGTTTAGGCAGCTCCACAACTCCACTCCAGACTCAACTCCTGGAGTTATATTTAGGAGTTGGAGCTGTACCAAACAAGCCCTAAGTACTCCTACGAACTAACCCTGCTGCTAGATACCCATTTTTTAACACAAAAAATAATATTAAAACATCTAACCCGTGCCAAATTTGTTAGTGACAACTGATAAGCTGTGATAATTGCACAGTAACAATTAATATTGTACTACTACACATGTTGTAGAATACTGCTACTCCTGCCTTTAAGCTAATGCTCGGTACGATCTCCTGCTAATAATTCTTAAAGATGACTTGAGATTAACTAGTTAGCTGTCAAGACGGGCCATTTGTTGTTCTCTCCACTTGGTGTAAAAAAAGAAGCTGCCTTTAGAGTGTGGCCCACATCTTTGGCTTGTTAATTACTACTTAATTAAGTTTCATCTTTGACAATTGACCAGTGCAGATGAAGAAGAAGAAGAAAAAAAAAAGGCTATAATCTTAGCAGAATCTAAGCCTACATATGTGATGGATTAGGATTAGGATCAGGGACACCATGCCCAACATCACATCCGTGTGGCTAAGATGTTGAAAGGCATGCATGCAAGAACCTTAGCGCCTCGAGATTCGTGCGCCTGGGAGGAGAGATTTAAAGGATGAGGAATTTAGGATCAGAAAGATTGAGGAGATGCATATATATCCAGCCCCACGAGTTGCAAGGGGCAGCATACGCAGCAATTGCAAAGAGGAGTTGAAAGCATTGGCGTTTTTAAGGTGGCCCCCAATGTGTGTTGAGATAATGAGTGTGACTTGCATGTATTTATTCTCCTCGCCTTTCTCTGGAGAGAGAAGGCTCACATCATTTCTCTCTTCGTCTCTGACCTTTGCTAATGTGGTGCCATGAACTCATGGAGCACGTGGTATGGAGAATTTGCCTCCATGATCCCATGGCGAGTGAGCTGCCACGACTCAGAGCAGAGATCCTGGTGCATGGAACTCGGAGATTTGTGCACTGATGCACACGATTTTAGTCAGCAATATAGCATGATCCGAAGAACCCCCAAGAATTAATCAAGTCTCATCATGCTATGTCGGTCAAAACAGTCGAGCTCAGGCTGATCCAAAGCCTCTTAGCCCATGGCTGACATTTTGACACCAGAGCTCCAGGCCAAGGAATGTAGGATCTTGTGCCAGCTGTCAAGCCGCCGCCGCCGTGGCACGCCTCCCGAGATGCGCTCGCTGTCAGAGGTGATCACATTCCAGTAGACACCACCACCATATGACGTGGAGCATACGAGACGAGGAGGGAGCTGACCTGACACAGTGACACACACACGGCCCCAATCGCCATCCCTCCCTGTTCCTGTCGACAAAGCCGGGCAGCCTCAGCCTCAATTCAGTTACGCGCGCGACCCGCACGCGGCGCGCACCGGCGTCACACAAACCACGCGAGCGTGCGTGCTGCCCTGCCCTGCCGATCTCATGAGCTCAGTCTTCCGTTCCAGTCCATCTCAAAACGGCGCCCGCCGCAACGCGACAAAGGAATCTGGCCCGTCGGATGGAGGATGGACGGCAGAGGTTAATATAGATGATGATCCAGAAGTAGGATACAGCAGGTGCATATTTGGATGTACTGTAGTGGAGTTCCAGTCAAGGGTGGAGTAATAGACAGTAGCCCGGGGTTTCTGCACCTCTCCTGCTGGAAATATTCCTTCTGCAGTCCTGCAGGAGCAGCAGCACATCAGATCACAAGTGGTATACATACTGGAGTTCATCACAAGCTAATCATGATATCCATTTGATCGATCGATCAATCAATCCCAAGGAGAAGATTTTTCAAGCAGCACCAGATTCCTCAACATGTCTTTGCAGTAGTACTATAATTGTACTAGCCACTAAACCAACCAAATTGCTCAAGCCACTGTTGTTGTGAAGAAGGAAGTAGTTTACTGGTCATGGAAAAGCCAGGCCGGCCTATAAGGGAGGTGATAAAACTGATAGGACTGCAGCACACACATGCTGATATGATATTCCATGGATCCATCCACACCCCGGGGAATGAATGAATAAGATTACCAACTGTTCTTGCAAGACTTGACTGAGGGCTTGTGCTGAGCAGCAGTTCTCAAAATAATGGGGAATTTATGCTCCGGTCTAACCAGTGAAAGAGACATGGAAATGGGTATGACAGCAACAGCAGAAAGCTCATCCACATACCTCCCCCCATTTCTCCCCTTCCTTCGCACGGCCTAACACCGCACGCCGATTGCCCCCAGTTCCATCACTTTTAGCCTAAATCAATCAATCAGCTCATGCCAGGAACTCAAACCGGAGAACAGTTTTTCGCCATATAGTCCAGGTTACAGGGGATACTGAAGATCTCGCCACGGGTTATTGGCTGGTCAGAATTAGACCACCACACAGCCTGCACAAAGAGGGGGGTGAGCTTCCAGGTCAAGTGCTTCGTGTCATTACCTTTCAGATGTTGGCAGCATCAGTGAAAAGTAGACAAAACTGACCTGCGGCTTTGCATGGCACCTCCGAGTGTACAAATCTGGATAAGGATTTGGAGACGGGAAGAGTCGCGACGGCTCTGAGTGGCCACCTTGATGCTGATCCATCATCGGAAGTACAGGCACTGTCGTTCTCGCAGCCATCTGTGAACAAATTCTGCAAAAAAAGGACGAAACAAGTTGGCGTAACACATAGCTCTCTCACCTTCAAGATAACACAGAAGGTAAGGGAAAGCTTCAGTTGCCACATGGAAGTAAAATCAGCCAATTATTGCAATGGTAATACAGCCAAACGAATTAACTCTAGCTTGACCCTGACAGCAAGCCAGTGAAAGCATATAGCTTGGGCCAGTTGAATTCCATTGTAAATTTTCATCCATCAAAATGACAGCTTGCTGTTCTTGAGCTATCACACACAAATGAGTTAGGTTTACTACAGATCTTATCCATCTACAAGTGGCCCAAGGATTTTGTAACCCCTCTCTTTACACATTGTACCTTTGCTTGCATCACTTCACTCTGAACTGTCCAATCGTGATTGGTCTCAAAATAAGAATGTTGAGGACTGGTCAACGCGGACATGCTTCTATTAGCAAGATTTGAAATTTTTTTTCCAGAAGTAGGTAAAGAAGCCAATTCTTAAAACTGCTAAGCCAGCAGTACAGAAGTTCAAAAAAAAATCTTACATATGGGTAAAACACCAACAATTCAAGGAGCTAAAAACCCACTAAAGAATGCTTATGCAACAATGAACGGTACAGTAGAAAAAATTGAGGACTAAAAGAAATGCAGGCAATCCAGAAACAGGCACACAGAGACACATACGGAGATTAGCTATGAAAAACCTAGAACCACGACTTGCTAATAAAATCATGAAAAAGCACATGCTTATAGACAATGTCTTACACAAGTCAACCTCTTGCATTAGTCATCCTCCAGCCTCCCATGTTGGTAGCGTCACATCAAAGATCCAACAGGTTTCATCAGTATTTTATGAGACAATACATAGCTTTGTAGAGTAAATAGTCAATGTAATTAGGCAGCTTACAGCAAATCTTATTTGTCTCTCTCAGCCAAACCCTGCTGTGCTGACTTCTCCAAATGATTTCACATATATCAAACACAAGCTTACCGATTGAATAAGGATAGGCAAGAAATAAGATCTCATGAAACAATTCATCCGTGTTGCTTTGCTGAACATATTTTCCAGCCAGTTAGGATAATATAAAGATTAATCTACTTCAAAGAAGTATAAATAATAACAGCGAGTTGTATATCTGTAGACAAAAGGTGACTCGTCAACTTTTTCCTTGATTAGTGATAGCTTGTCGATCTTGCATAAACATATTGCAGCCTGCAGGGAATGTGAAGTTTGGTGGCAACTTGTATGATATCACTTCAGAGAGACAAGCAGCCATGCACCGGATGGCCTTGGAACCGTTCTAGATGTTGACTTAGCATTTATTGGATAAAGGCACACTGTTCGAGGGCAAAATCTTCCACTCTCCCGTATATGGATTTGCAAGGACTTCTGCAGTGTTGGAAACTGAGAACTCCATCCTACCTGTGCAAAATAGTACATACTAAAGAACAAGTATACCACGCAAAATCTAAGAATCAACTAACATATGCCAAGCATCATTGAAAAAAAAGGTATCGCTCTCATCATTCTAAAGATAAGACCATTTTCATATTGTTGATTGCTTTTCATTTAAAGATAAGGTAAATCCACATGTTGCTGCAGGCCATGTACCAGCACATGGACACAACAATGGCTACAAAAATGTCAACTACAAATAAGCTGTGTTTTCTTTTGTATGTCCAATCAAAAAGGATACTTGTCTCTACATCTAATAAAAGAACTTGCTCTGCCACATGAGAATAAACTGCTTACACTTAAAACCAACACCATCCCATCAACCTACAAACTGAGGCATGAGAGGAGTTACCATGTCACACTTTTGAAGGATTTGCAGACAACTTCCAAGCAATAATTGCCATGTTCCTTGGAGACATAGTGGGATTGAAAAGCGGAAACAAAGATGCTTCAATAACACTGCCTTGCTCTTGAAGAAATAGTAACCGGTCAAGTAAAATATATGTTTCCACCAGTGGCCCTAAAGCAACCCGAAGGCACCAGAAGGGACCTATAAATTCCTGCAAGAACAATAGATGGTTACAAAGGTTGTCAGTATGAGACATTCCGGTACTAAATAAAGAATGAAATTACTGTCATATCCCAATTAATTCTACATTCTTATGAATAAAAAACATACAAAAATACATTTACAAGCATGTCTCTCATATAGCTGTTGTGCACATTGTGTTATGTTCTCTATGAACATACTCTAATCATATGATATTGATTACATTATTTTCAAGGCCTGATAACATTATTTTCACTTTGATTGAGGACTAAGAAATAATATATAATAAAATACTTAATCCATTAACTTCTTGGAACTATCCTACAGCAAGGCATAAAGGATACTCCAAGACATACCGTGAAGGGTTGCACGTCCTTCCATATTTCAAGTAAACTAACATTTTCCACAAAATCACAGCCAAGGCGACCTAATCCTGACACTGTGAAATCTTTAAACAGGGTGAACTTTTGTGATTTATCAAGATAGATGTCATCTGGTACAACGGCAGCTCCAGATACAGCTGAATCAACAAACCCTGAAGTTGAAAAATATTATTCATTGTCCACTTGTAAACTAAAACAGTCAAACACCCGTAGGCCGTAGTGTGTAAATGTAACTGAAAGCCATTGAAGGTACTAACCTGTTGAAAGCTCGGGAAGAAAGTCTACATGAACCTCTTTAAAATTATTAGGGCCTGTGGGCAGTGGATCGTCTTTGGTCATGATTTGTTCCTTTTGAGTGGAATATGATAAAGCGTCAGTTTCTGCCATAGCCATAGGGGATTCCATAACTTTCCTAAGCCTTTGACGGCGTAGTGCTTTTCCTTGCCTCCCAATTGATGGACTCGATCTTGACACCTCTGGGAAATGTTTCTCAAGAAACTACCATGAGACACATAGTTAGATGAGTCTAAAGCAGTGAATGAGATGAAAGAACAAGTGTTAATTAGCTTCTAACACTTTAGTGGCTAGAATCTGAATCCCAATCTCTTCTTGCAACAAGAATCATAGCCAAGAAGATGCTAATACTAAAATTATGGTCGATATGTTCATTTAAGCATAGATCCAATTTCATGTCATGAACCATCGCATCTAACTATAAACAGGAAATGCCATTCTTGGTTAATATCTTAAAATTCAGAAACCAGCTTATGTGGCTCACATGTAGGCATGAAATCCTATAGAGGTCCCTATCATAAGCTATTGCACATCTAAGCCAGCTTTCTAAAACTCCCGAGATTAATTAGAGGTGTTCCATAAGCTACTAACCATGATCAACCTATAAGCAAGCAAACTCACATAATAATATCGTGTACAACAAACCAGCTGAAGCTACTATAAACATGACCATAAAATGGACAGAAACCAACAGTGAAGGACTGAGTGAAAAGTCAAGCATATTATATGACAAGAGTTGAAATAACAGAGCATTTACCATTTGAAATGCAGCACGGAAGGCATGTATATCAAAATTTTGTAGGGCTATGTCCTTAGTGAGACTTCTCCATCTCTCTGCACTCTAAGAAGGATTGAAAAAAAAGGCATAAATAAAAAGAATTATGTACCATAATGTCAACTCAGCACATAACTTACACAATTCTAAGCGTGCATCTTAATAATGAAAAATGTACAAAAATCACATGATAGCTATTAACACAAAGTAGCAATATGTTAAAAAAACCAAACAACTACACATGAATGGAATCAAAAAGAAAAGGCAAAGTGAAGCAATCACTTATTCTAGATTATCTCAAGTAACAATGGAGATAATATGTTAATGTAAGCAATAATAAATTTCAGAAATGATTTGAATTCATAGGCACAGACATGTTTCTGATATTCAACCATGCAGCACTGAATATGTTCTCGTTGCATAGGATGACAGATGGAAAAAAATGCGGAGGCAAAGATCTCTAAACAGCATTAGTGTGTTAAACAATAGCATTGAAAACCATATAAGCAAACAAAAAACACTGAACCTCCATAAGCTTTTTGAACCTTTTTTGTTCAAAATCAATTAAACAACTATCTTGTGCTACTGTGTCTTTTGTATGCTGAGTACCTTCAAATAAGGTCCACCACCAAAATAGAATGTCTAAACAAGAAGATCAAAAGATGCCATAATACCTGGCAACCAAGGTCACGGGTGCTTTTCCTAAGCACCAAATTAGATAGTTTAGCAGCCTTGCTCATAGGAAAACCAGGACAGGTATTTGTGTCTTCGTGGCATTCCTCAGAGAGTAAGTTGTAGCAACAGCCAATGCTTATCAATGCTTTTACTTGTTCGCACGACACAAAAAGCCTGTCAATAGAATACAATAATCATGCTTTAAAGGGCTTACAACATAAAAGGGAAAATTGAAGCTGCAGTATTTTTTTTTTTTAGGTTGGAGGGGGTAAGACTTCACTAAATGAACCTTAGCATGTTAACTGAAAGATCACCACAAGCATGAAGACCAGCAAGGACTAATGGAGGAATGCTGTCATTTGGTTTCTCAATCTGTGGACTGCTCTCGTTGAAGTTTTTACTTTCTGGTACATGTTCAGCATGATCATCCTGACATGCTTCCAATGTCACAGCTGCTAATGTGTCACTAGAAAGTACATGGCAAGTAACAGTTCTAGGTACTCTGAGCTGTTGCTTCCCTACACTGCAAGGAATAGTGGCCATTTATTTAAAACAACATAAATCAGTTCAGAGTTCAAATTTAGGTAAGTATGATTAAATTGATGAAAGTCACACCATTTAGCAGTGTAGTACTTCTTTATTCTTTCTGCACGAGTATTTGTAACTGATGCATGATGTGATGAAGCATCTATTGCTACAACAGGGAGTTGGTACTCAAAAGATAAGGCTTGGGCAAGATAACCCTGTAAGAAACAAATACAGGGATGAAAATGAATCATGGAAGAACTCAAAACTTTTCTCAGAATAGCCAAGGAAAATCAAGTCATGGAATGCAACAGAAAATTTACAATATATGCAAATTCTACAGAAAAATTATGACTTTACACTTCACAGATTGGCCAAGCAAGTATTACACATCTCAAATTTTAAGAGTTCCAAAAGATGACCTAACTTTGTACAGTATGATTCCAATTTGCAAATAAGTTTAACTAACAGAACTACAGAAGTGCCACTCATTGCATCATTGACATGTGGACCTAGACCGGCCTTGCATAGAAACAATAAGTAATTTCGCAAATCATCTGTGTTATAATGAATATAAGGAACCTATCCTAAGAAGATATGGCCAAATCAAAAGCAGTGAAATATGGAGTCAACTACCAAGTATTTATCAGATGATGTATAATTATCCTTACATAAACGAATCCTGTTTACACTTTACACTTGCAAAGCTTCTTCATGAAGATGGCTTACCTGGCCAGAACCTACATCAATCACTGTCTTTGCTCCACAGCTCTTGGTAATTGCATGAACCAACCCAGCTAGAGTTTCAATCTGCATTAAGCAACCTCTCCAAACATGAGAATGCAACGAACAGGTTATAATATAAATGGGTTTGTAAAAACAAGTAAGCTTTATCAGCACAAGCAAATTACCTACTTCATGCTTCTTCTTGGAGTTCATTCCTTGAGCGAGAACAGTATTAATTGATGCTACATGCAAGTCGGGTAGGAGCTGCAAGTATTGAAGAAAACATGCGTCGGGATTAAACAGATGGCAGAAACAGGCATGTTTTGCTAAATCAATGGCTACAAATGATAGCGATGCATGTGAAAAATGTGACGAAAACTCCACATGCTTAATGTCTTATTAGTTCACTAAAACTATGTAACAGGAATGCAAGTGGAAAATCGGCCAAGATTTTGTATATGGCTATGTGTAGCATTGTAGCTCATGATTTCTTCCATTGCTGTTCAAAAAGGGAACAGCTAGCGCTAGCACAGCCAATGCCTACAATCTGATAAGTTATGTTCATGGAACATACTGATCGCGGTGACTTCTGCTCCCGTGGAAGAACAAGTGACTTTGCAGTGAGTACAAAATCTCGCAATGAACTGGGCCAGTGCTCCTGCAAAATAGAACAGTAGACAATTGACATAAGTTGGCCGCAGCAGCAACAGCAGCATAAGAACTGAAGAAACGTCAGGCTTGTAGCACCCATCAGAACTATTCAGAGAGTGTGTGGCCATGCCTGAACACATCCGGAGGGCAACATGAGCAAGCTCTCCACGGGCTCCCTGCGGAGGCACTCCATCCACTCCGCATCCACCATCTCCCACAGCCGATCCTGCTCAAAACCAAACCCCAACCCCAAACCCCCCCTCGTGAGCTTCAGCGAGACGGAATCAATCACCCAAACCCCCACCCAAAACACCTCTCACCTTGAAGAAGTTGACGACGTGCGCCTCGAGGAGCGGGCGGTGGAGGTGGAGAAAGGCGGAGATGGCCTCCATCCACTCGCGGGTCTGCTCCGCCGTCTCGCACGAGTACCCGCCGCCGCCGCCGCCGCTCGCCGGAGTCGCCGCCGCCATCGCTTGTGAAGAGGAGAGGGGAGTAGTGGTGACACGGTTGGTTTCTGGTTGGGCTCGCTGTTGGGCCCTGGCTTTGAAGCGAGCAGTTCGTTTGCAGCGGTGTCTATGGGCCTCTGGCCATTTGGCAGTGCGGTTCCTGGGCCTTGGAATCTTGACGTCCCACGCTGACTCAGCTTTGTTGTCCGCAGTCAATCTACTTTGGTTGTGTTCTTTTCTTCTGAAGATAAATATTAAATTTTTTTACGTAAAATGAGGTGGTATTTTAGAGCAACTTTTATAAAAGTTTTCGCACGAAACGCATCGTTTAGCAGTTTGAAAAGCGTGCCACGAAATTTTTAATCTTCATCCAACTCTTGTTGGAGAAAAAAAAGGGGACCTTTGAGTCCAAACTGAATAGTGAATACCCCGGTGTTGTGTGTTAACAGATATTGTTATATCTAGTTTTACATTCGGGGATGTAATTTGAACTCGATGTCAACACAAGAGACCTACAGTGAACTTATCCCCTCCAAGATCTAATACTCACCTCAAAGTCCACCTATCAGTGTAGCTATTTTAGTAAAATTCAATTCTCTCAATTCTATTAGTGTAGCAAATATATTGTCCCATCGTCACTGTAAAAAAATAATTCGAGAAAGAACAAACACAGAAGCTCACTACGCATGCGCACTCACCCCTATAAATACACACGTACATTGTACTCCTAAGAATATCTCCAAAAGACTATGACAACATATCTTAATATTGACGAAGTTATCACAGTTGTCTCGTTGTCAATGGATACATCGTTTACCACTATAAAAAAAATTTGGTTTACATCTTCTACCTCCGTCAATAGTCATGCGGTCAATATTGTCGCTGAGAGTGAACTTTAGAGTTTTGTGATCACAAAGTACAGTTGTAGGAAAAACCGATTGATTGAAATGATTTGTAACAAACAAACCAACAAAATTCGAATCTTGATACTCATAAAATATATTTATATGTAGGTGCATTTCAAATATGAATTTCATATGATCCATTATTTGTCGCCTGTCTACATATATTTGAGCATATATTAAGGGGACATTTGTAGTTATTTGCGTATTGTGTGTATCTAGATTAATGTTTATGTGCACGTCTTTCGTATAATAAAAGACTACGTTAAAGATTTTTAAAAAGAACTTATAAGAATCTTCCAATCCAAAACAGCTCTAAGCGATCGACGGAACCTTAATTCACTTGCTTATAAACAGTTTCAAATTTAAACCGTTCAGAACACCATGATACTTGAGCTAACGACACAGCACTGCTATACGTCCGACTCCCATCCTACCCAACCTCACCTGCAAAAGTTTCGCTCCACGCAGACCAGCTTCTCTCTATGTGGGCCAGGGCAATTAGCAGCTAAGAGCTGGTCGGATAAGAGTCGTACGTCACAGTCGTGTGTATAGCATTTTCGGCCATAAAAATAGAGACCATGTCGGCAGCAACCACGTGGCAACAATTGATTATTTGTTGTCAGTTGTCAGCACCACCATGAAATGCAAGCTTCGAAATGGACACTTTGTAATTCATAATTATCCTCAAACTCTTTTCAAAAAAAAAGAAAAATATTTTCGAAATCAAAATTCCACCAACAACAAGAGAACACCGCACGTTGCCGCCATCGAAAAAATTTCCATCGACACTGCAACGCATCACCGACGCCACGTCGTCGCGTAAACCGGTGGGCGCCACCCACTCACCGCCCGGGACCACACCACCCAAGCGCAGCGCCAAACGATGTCTCCCCTTCACACGTGTCAAGATCGCAGCCGTCCCGATGCCGACGGGCTCGGGAAACGGACGGCTCCGATGCACCTCACGTGCTCCGGCGGGTCTCGGGCCCGGGTCAACGTCAGGCAACCGGTCACTGTATCGTGGGCCCGGGGCGAGCTGTGCACTCCGCCGCTGACTGGTGGGACCCACTGTGAGACACAAGGGAAAGGTGTTGATGTGTGAACCGTTACCAGTAGGAGTACTAGGCTAAAACCTCACATCACATGATCACATCAACCGTCAGATCTCATCACCAATTTTTTTAGTACTAGAAAAATAAATAAAAAATTTAAAAGAGAGAGCAATAACTGCCTCTTTTGGTCTCTTTTGAGCTTTGGAATTTTTTATCTTTTGTTTTTTTGGGGGGTTATTTTACATGTTCCTTTTTGTACTGTCTAGCTGTGCCTTTTTGGCTGGTATATTTGGGTTTGGATTGTGTATAGATTTGTTTATGTGGTCTGTTATGATTTGCTTCATACTAGTAGGTGATTTGTACTTTGGTTTCTTGTTAATTTATTTGTTTCATTTTTTTGTCATGCTAGATGATGACAGATTGACATGAAAAGTTCCAAGGTTGAAGGTGATTAAAGGTCATCTTAAGAAAATAGAGCTTGGAGCCAAAAGAAACCACCAAGAATCAACCATGCATGACATGTTGTATCATCAAAATATTGGGCAAGAATGTGCATGCATGCTTTAAGGTGAGATTTTGAATGATCTTTATAATTATTTCTTTGAAATATCTTCAAGGTGAGATTACAGGATTATGTAAAAGTGGAGTGTCTGTAGCTACGAAGGGAATTGAAGACAGGTTGGCCATGCCAAAAAGGAAATCATGAAAGAGATAACTTCCATGTGAAACAATATGACAATTATTGTGCTATTGTTTTCTTAAATGCAATTTTATAATATCCTTGGAAATCATGTGGCATGCAAAAGTATTGGGATTTGTTTTTTCTCATTTGCCAGACATGCATGCAAGGTCTGAGTACATTTATTAATCATCTCTGCAATCAGTTTTAGGACATCAATAAAAGCATGTCATTTTCTGAATTTGTTGGGCAGATAGTACTAGTACAAACAGGACAATATATATACTCCAGCAAAAGCGATGTAAAACAACACACCTAACAAAAATAAGGATCGGATAATGGAGCACGTAATAAAACCACCTCACAAAAACGGTAAGCATATTTGGATCTATAGACAGCCTGACAACCCATTTTGAGTTAGACAAGTTTGGTCGATTAAGCACGCATTTTGTTTATGGCAACACATACTACTCTTATATACATGCATTGTTATCCCTTACTACCTAAGCAATCACTCCCAGGAGCGTGTCTAGGTTATACTACCCGGTGTCACAGGACACCGGGTAGATTATTCAAATCCTATATAAATTACACTATATTAATTAATATATTAGTCAATAATTAGATAATTGGTATGTATTGGACCCTCGGTAACTTTTGTTCTAGGTTCGCCACTGATCACTCCTATCAGCAACTCCTAAAGCATCAAAATATCTCTTGCGTAGTACTAATAATCAGTAATCACTGTATATAATCCATTTTTTTTAATTTTCTTAGAAACTAAACTAATCACTCTATAAAAACTACACTACTTCAAACAAGCCTTTAATTTAAAGTCCTGTTTGAAACATACATAAATTGGAAATGACATTTTATCTAATCGTACAGTAATTAAATGGAAAATACATAAATGACAAATATGAAGATGAACCATTTTCTAAAAGGTTAAATCTATTGCTTATTTTTCCTGTGAAATTGAACTATAAAAATACAATCATATATAAATTATCCTATCATTTCATATGAAGCACATGTTTTCTAAAAAAAAAATCCTTTTAAGAAATTAAATCCTCCTAAAGTCCTACGTCAATTCTCCATTTCAAATGGACATTAGAGCAGGGAAAATAGCAAACTATAAACATATACTTCCTCTGTTAAGGGATTTTGAACGGATGTGACATTTCATAGAATAACGAAATGTCACATCCGTTCAAAATCCCTTATATTTTGAGACGGAGGGAATATCAATGAGATAAAAAATAAGAGAGAAGAGTAGCAGGCTACAGATTTGTATCCAACTACAGTACGGACTCTGACGGAGCGTGGGGCTCCTCACCGGGAGACCGCGCAGGCCTCCCTTTGCCGGTTCGGCCGGGGGCCCTGGGTGAGGTTCTAAGCTCCTAGCCTGTGGAAAGTTCGCGAGAGTGGAAACACACAAGACACGGGCGAGGTATACAGGTTCGGGCCGCTGAGAAGCGTAATACCCTACTCCTGTGTTTTGGTGGATCTGTGTATGAAGAAGCTACAAAGTGCGAGCCAGCCCCCGATCGTTCTGGGATCGTTTCCTTCTCCCCCTAAGTGGGCAAGGTCCTCCTTTTATATCTCAAGGGGATACCACATGCACCATCTCTCCCTCTCTTTCTTTTGTGTGGGGATTCATCCTCTCTTCCCTCCAACTTGACTTCTCTTCATTAATGGACGGAGATTTGTATGGCTGCCGTCCGAATGACCTTCTGATGGGACGGCCCATACCTACCTCCACTTCGCCGGAAGCAGGTGCAACGTGGGAACACGGTTGTCTTCCAGCGACATAACCAGTGTCAGACCAGTCACAGACCGGTCACCTTTGTCCACCACGTGTCAGTTTAGCAATCTGCATGTTCGCCCTTCTTCATACAACGTCTTGCTTATAATGGTTGGGATAAAGCCTGGCATATATCTGACCAGGACCAACGTGCCATCTCTAGGAGCTAGCACGCTGGCTCCGGCTAGGGACGAGTGCCTAGAGACTCTCATCCTGACGGGACGGGGCGAGGCGTGTGTCAGATCGCCTGTTGCCACCTAACCCGCAATCTGACCGATCTGTGACCAGTCACAGACCGGATAAACGAGCGCGCTGTACTGCATTACGTGTGGTGTGACGTGCTCACCCAAACCGCAATAAATGCGGTTAGGTGAGCCCCGCTACGCTCACCTAACCCATACACGCGGCGCAAAACCCACAAGGGGTCGGGGCGCCTCGGCCCTCGGGGCCGAGGCGGGAGCGGTCCGACCCCCTCGGGGAGACAAAGAGGAGGGCGAACACATCACCCTCGGGCCCGACACCCCCCGAGGGTGCCAGGCCACGTGGGCGATTGTGTCTGCCTCAAGCCTCTAGTCATGATACTCCCGGTCCCATGTCACCGACAGACTCCAACACACTATACACACACATACATATATACACACATACATATATACACATATACATATATATATATATATACATATATATACACATACATATACATATATATACATATACATATATACACATACATATACATATATATGTATGTATGTATATACACATAGGAAAATGATTGTATACACCTGGGTGTATGTACTCCTGCTTGTATCTGCCATCCATCAGTGGACACACCTAACAAAAATAAGGATCGGATAATGGGCGATTGTGTCTGCCTCAAGCCTCTAGTCATGATACTCCCGGTCCCATGTCACCGACAGACTCCAACACACTATACACACACACATACATATATATACACATACATATATACACACATACATATATACACATATACATATATATATATATATACATATATATACACATACATATACATATATATATATATATACATACATATACATATACATATATATACATATACATATATACATATATACATACATATACATATATATATATACATACATATACATATATATATATACATATATATATATATACATATATATATATATATATATATATATATATACATATATATATATATATACATATATACATATATATACACACACATAGGAAAATGATTGTATACACCTGGGTGTATGTACTCCTGCTTGTATCTGCCGTCCATCAGTGGACACCCCCGATCGAGTTATCGGATCCACCTACCGGACTTGTTTTCATTTTTGTGGAGAAAAGAATAATTAATCCTAGTAAATCTGCAATTTTCCCACAGGGATCGGAACTATCTCTTTTAAAACTCTGTTGTTTACCAAATTAAACCACAAATCGATAAATCGGATCTGAGGGCGAGGCCGCAATCTACGGGAGATTCTGTGGCGACGGCACAATCAATCGGCGACTCGACGTCCTCGGCGGCGATTCGCTGCCGTACGTCCACAACGCGGATCCGTCGACTACTTGGCATCCACGGTGCAGTCCATCAGCAAGGCAGAGTCGACGACGAGATCGACAACAACTCGGCGTCAACGGAGGCGCGCGAAGAGTACAACGTCCACGGCGAAGCTGTGATCCGTCGCGACAGCCAATCGGCAAGCCGGAGGCGACGGCGCCATCTCCATCCGCACGAAGAAAGCGAATCCCCTCCAACCGAAGATCACGGCAGCATGCCTACCCAACGAATGCCAGGAGAGTTGCCTAGTAGAAACACGGGCAGTTCTGTTCTTTCTGATTATCTGATAGGTTTTGAGATTATCGATCTGGTTGCCGTATACATATACAACACCATCTCTTCTTACACACTCCATTGAATCTCTTCTTAATTATACTATAGTAAGAGATCGTATTATGTCAGGCAATAAGAAAATCGTTTCAAAATTCAGTATGTTTCTTTTCATTCTTGCTCAT